TAAATCAGAACTAAAATCATATATATTTCTTTTATAAAAAAGCTCCCATAAAGCCTCTTGTAAAAGAATGAATTGAAAACTGATACCTTTCCATTCTATAGAAAATCTGCATTTCGCAAGCAACAACAAAATTAACATGTGAGTGTTGAAAAAAAATCAATATTTACACTTTGCAATACTATCAGTTAAATACTTCTTGGTTTACGGACTCAGAACCACTTCATCGAAATCCATATCTGATGGTGATCGACTTGATCTTTGGAAACTTCAAAAAGAAAAAAAAGCCATCATTTCAAAGTTCGAAAATATAAACTAACATTTAGAAGTCCCAGAAAGTAAAATAAAAAATAAGTGAACTTACTTTTCTCGATGTCTGAATGAGTGGAAAGTGTTATTTGTGATTCGTCCGTTATTACATAAATTACGCTGATGTTGAGATTTCCTAAACAATGTTTCATCAGATCCATTTTCAATTCGTTCTAACACATATAATTCTAAGACATAATACTTTACATTTCATTTAGCTATATATTTTTAACTAGCTACGAAGAGTGGTACAGACAAATGTTACAAGCTACCATTAATTAGACGAGATAACTCTATTGAAATGAATATCCAAATATATTAATTAAACAAATTAAGGACTTCGTGAACAGCACTTTCAGCCAGCACTTAAATTCAAATTTTGTGTGATTAATAAGTATATTAATTGATTCCACTAGTATTAGCTATGTACGCATTTTAGTGGCGGTCATTGACTGTTTTTTTTTTTTTTTTTCTGCATTAGACACAAAAGATTTCTCGAAAAATTGGTTACAAAAAGTTTTCAAAGTCTATAAACAGCCTGTTTAAAAAAAAAAAAAAAATTTTGACGGAGATGAAAATGAATTCATCTCCATCAAAATGTTCACATTTAATGAGTTGTCTTCGCATTGCGGATTTAACCTAAGATGACGATGTCTCGCCAAACGCCAAACTGACCACCTGAATAATGAAAAAACAATGAACTAAGAAATCACCTATCAGAATTTTCCAATGGTAAAGAATGAGTTTGCCAGTTATATCTGAATTCATTTTCATCTCCATCAAAATTTTCGTGGTCAGTGAGTTTTTTTCGCTGTTGTGGATTTAATCTATGGTTCACTGACTGCAGGTAAGATGAAGAGCTTGTGCCAACCTGATATCTTTTTCTAAATAATGAAGTTTGACGAAAACTGACCTGATATCAAATTCTTGGAATTTTTAACATGTCAATATTGCTTCACTAATTTACAATGACTACAATGAGCAGCAGCATTTTTTACAAATGAGGAACTCATAATAATCAGCATATTTGAAAGATTGATAAAATTATGGATAATACTACCTTGGTGATTCATGGTTGTTGCTCAAATAAGAACGCTGCGCAACAATATATTCATCTTCTCCACTATCATCGGAAATATCATCAAAATCTGTACACTCTAAATCATGTAGACGAGATTCATCTTCCCTTACATGATCACAAATACCATCAACAAAGCTCGCTAACCTGAAAAATGCATTAAAAGGAGTATTAGAAAGTACAAAAAAGTAAATCAGTGGACCTATATCAAGATTACTCCAATCGATAATTATTAAAACCTTTTGCATCATAACAAAAGTTCACTAACCTCTTTGGATCACTCACTGAAGATGTAATTTTCCAAACATCAGCTTCCGGACTTCGACAATATCGACGTAATTCCTCTAATGCTTTCCTAGTTTCTTCCTCACCCTGCTGTCGATATTCTTCCATTGTCAGTAAACGTTGACATTGAGGAAATAAAAAAAGCCTAAAATATCGAAAATTTCATAAAATGGAAATTACTAAAACATGTCTTGAAATTTTGCAAGCGTGACATCTCAGTTGTATGCTTCATTCATTGTTCATAGTACGAAAAGAATATTTCTCAAGGCCTGAGAACATATGATATATTGAATAGCAAAAAGAAATTTACAATTTTACCTATATAAGCTTTTACCGATTGACTATAATATGCATAGAAATTTGTTATTAGTTTTGGGAAAAAATTCTTCCAAACTTATGCAGCTTATTTTAACATAACTTATCTTTAATTTACTAACCAAACTGCTTTGAAGATAGATATGAATCTGGATGCTATATTAATTAACCAATTCTTTGAGACCGACCATAGCAGTAACAAAGTAATGACTCCAACAGCTATATCTGTTGTCTAAAATAAAGCTAATAATAACTAAGTTGCAACAAATGACAAGAGTCAAGAAAAATACCATTTTAAACAGCATTATCAAAAAGAAAGTAACTAGTAACCAACTTGACAAGATGAGTATATTAGCAGCAAGGCAATCAATTGCAATGTCCATTGAGCAAGATTATGAGATCTGACGTCCGTTGGTGGTCCGTAACGATAACAAACTGCTAATGATACCAAAATTACAGTAGCGAAATATGCTGCCACAAATTTCTGATATAATAAAACTAAAGAAGCAAGATTTTTCCAAACGGTGTAAATAAAGAAGAACGAAACGGACCAGCCAGTGAACATCAATGGAATTCCCAACCAACTCTGAAAAATAACTTTACTGCTTCAATCAACATCTTATTTTCATTTCGTACCAGATTCGCCTATCAGCATCTATTGGTCTCATAAATTTTGAATCACCTTGTTTGTCATATGGAATTAACAATATTAAAACAACAATATAAGAATAATGTTATATACATTTCTACTTCAAATTCCTTAAAATAAATATAATTAAACAGCAAAGAAAAGTTTGTAGAGCCAGTGTTTTCGGAAATTTCGCAGTTCAGAGTTTTTCTTACCCATATGAAACTCATTTTGAAAAAAAGCATTGTTTTTATGATGATATTATTACACTCATAATAATAAAGCTAGCGAAAGAAGTGATAGACACTTAAACTCATTGAAACGAACCCTTGGAGTCAATCGGTAAACCACAAATCCAACAATCAAAAGTGATGCCAAAACACCAATCGTACAACCGCTGGTATAATAGAAAATAGCATTTTTCACTAATGAATATGACATCAAAAACAAGACTATACTACCAATAAATACAGCCACACGTATGTAATTAATTTCTAAAAATGAAATTAAGTGGCATAAAAAGTTTCTGAAAGCTTGAATTCACGATAGATTCTTTGTAATTAGTAAACAGTATGTAAAATATATTTGGAAATAATCTTCCAGTTTAATATTCGAAATTTTATTTTTGATATATTTTACAAACGATTTGAATAGAAAATAAACAACATAGATAAACATACTCCACACGCGTATTCGGATTTCATACGGATGTCGGGTGCTTACGCCAATAACAGTTTTAGAAAATGGATTTAACTGCTTGTAACGCAATAACTTAACACGTCGTACTAATCCCCAAAAACGCTGATCGTCGTGATAATGTTGCAACACTTCTGAACAATTCTCACCCTGTAATTATTTAACCTTACTAAAGTTATATCAAATTAGCATGAAGGAAGTTTTTGCTAAATTTCATAGCTACTTTACGAAGTTATTTTTAATGCGGAAAGTATACTAGAAAGAAAACACCACAATTAGTATTACTAATATCTATTGTGCGAAGGTCAAGACTCAACTTCATAGATGATTTTTTATTCCTCAAATTGCATTCATCTTAAAGATTGAGACGTGAAATGAGTGCTTGCCTGGTAAAGCTGATAAGCATGTTCGTTAGTAAGGTTAATTTGAACATAAACATCCATGAACATATGCTTCACATGATGAGGAAATTTATTACAGTGATAAAGATCCAAAATGCCAGACGTACTTGACCAACCAGATACTTTCGCTGGTACTGTTATGTACGATGATGTAAGCTCTAAAGATAAACAAAAATAAATGAATGTAACTTATAAGTAAACACATGAGGATGGTGAAGAATATTCAACATTCAATACTTTTTCAAGTTCCATTTGGAGCTCTAAGCATCTGTGTAAAAAAAAAAAAAAAAAAAAGAACTGTAAAAAAGAAAAAAGAAAACATGGAAATTTTGTTTTGAAGCAACATTATATAGTAATTAAAGAAAATTAGGTAAGTAGTTAAAACTATAAAAATATAATTTCTCCAAAAAATAGAAAATAAATGAACAAATAAATTTAAATTTGAAGTTTCATCAAATTATAGCTTTATAAATCTAATGCTTTCACTTACCACGTGTAATGCATTCGTCAGAGTTATCTTTATCGGCAGTCACCAAATAGAATGATAAAAGTAATAGCACCATTTTTTTCAACATCGCTACAATTTATCGATGTAAAGATAAAGACTAGAACGAAGACGAAATTAAATAAAAATAAATGCCAGTTCTATTGTTGTCGTTTTGGGTTATTGTAGATAATAACTGATCGATATTATCGACGAAATAATGAAATAGCCTGAAATAGCTAAATAAACTACAGAAGAATATATTCTGTGCAATTAAATTGCCAAAATTCTTGACTTACCTAAGTATTTATCATGCAACTTAAACAATATATTGCACACCATTGATTCACGGACTAGCTGTTATTTACTACTCGTCCAATTGATATCTGAATTTAAAAGTAACTTGGCGCTGTTTAACGGCATAATGTCCTTATTTCCTGTGGTTTAGTGTTTGTCTTTCCTCGGTCAGTATTCCACGTGTTTTCACGTGTACTATCGTCATTCAAGCCTGATCACGTTTTTACGCGTAGTATTAACTATTCAGAACTGATATAACAATTATCGTGGCGTCATTTTGTGATTGGTAATGGATGTATTAGTTATTTAGACCTATCTCCATCTTTTTTTTTAATTTTTAAACCCATGTAATATAATATATACCTTGATCTTTAACTGTTAGGAAGCTATAACTATTAGTATCCTCTTTGATCCATAAAATAATATGCACGGGTTTCTTCTCATATGCTCATTTAATTAAATTCGAAGTGATATTGCAGTGATAGAAGTGAAAAATTAACTTCAGAAGATATGGTAGGCATTGGCGATCTTAGTCGAGGTTTCATCCGGGAAATATGCGAGTCGAATACTGGCGAAGAGAGACCTGTAATTCAAGTTTTGGTAAATTAAATAATTTAATCATTTATCAGTTTTTCGTTGTGTTGGTTATTTTAATTTCTGTCTCCTTTGTAGTTTATGTGAAATGGCAGTGTTTCCCATTGTATAAAATAATTGTGATAGAATTAAAAAAGAAGAAAATCTTCCTTCAGGAAGCAAGACCATTGGTTAACAGCCAAGCTGAATCTGCTTCAGAAGCTCAGTATTTTCGGTTTCGAATATCTGATGGAATGTTCAGCTATAATTGTATGTGTTTTTGTACGTATTAATTGTTATTACTACTATAGCCATGTTAAAGTGTAGGGTTGCTTAATAAAAATACGTGATTATTATTGATATTAAATCTAAAAGCAGTAAGAAAAGTTATTTTATCATGTACTGAATTGCTCCTATCAATAACTTATTTCACTGATATTTGCAGCTTGCCTTAATCAAGCGAGTATAACAGAAAGAATCAAAACAGATGCTCTGGATCAGGGTAATCCGGTATTACGCATAAAATATACAATGTGAGTGTTGGGAATTCAAATTTAGCCCGGAATTACTTATGTACTGTATTTCCTTTCAAAAAAATGTATAGATAGTTCATTTTGGAGGTTGCAGTTTTTTGTTTAAGAAAGGCTGCTCAAAAACCACTGCTAAGAATCATGGATTACGAAATTTTGGGACGCGATTTGCCGGTTTTCGGGAATCCAGTACATCATTCTGGGAATCCAAATGATTATCGTGGATTAAATCCAAATGCTAATATGCATAATACGCGTCTTGAACTTCGATCACCCCAAAAGGGTGGCTCAACTTCGGGACAGAATACTCCTCGTAATGCTTTGCTTTTCATTTTATTTAAAAAAAGTTTTTTATTACAAATCCTAGCTAGGAGTGCTAAGGAAATTCTTTAATAATTACAATTATCATTTCTGGACTGTACGTAATGTTGACTGCTGTTGGTTAGCAATGACTCAAAGTGCTAGATGCCAAATTTTATTCCATAAATTTATTGCAAATTAAATTTTCGACTTTTTCAATTATTAGGAACGCTCACCAATTCCTTCAGTGATTTACAAACCACTAGTGGTGCTTTACTAAGTTTCTATGTGTCGCTGTTTCTTTTATCATTTGTTTTTATGTTCTGTAGTCGTTAAAATTCTTTTAATTTTATTCTGTAATTGATTTTTTTTCACTTACTTTTCAAGTTCTAGTTATAAGAACCAACGCTCTCAGTGCGAACTGTATGCAAGGTTTACTCTTGAAGTAACAACTAAAGAAGATGTGTTGCCATTACACTTCACAACTAAATATTTGTATTATGGGGATGTTCAAAGCATTTCATGGAAAACAGCTTAAAATTTCTTTCGAATAGAAGAATTACCTGATAATTCATGAGTTATTTTAGTCATCTTAACGCTAAAGCGTGTTGCATATTTTCACTTGAAGGTCTGAGAATTAATGAATGAGCATTCTACATTTCTCCTTCCATACACTATGCTTTCAATTACTAGTCTATTGAATCTTGTTGTCTTTTACTCTTCTTTTCGAGACATAAAGAATATATTGGAATTGAAGTAGAATATTTGGATGAGAATAACATCCTCAGAACTGATATACTGATAACATTTCACTTAATATATTTCGTTTTTTTTTTTTTTCAGTTCGTTATGGTGGCTCATCGTCGCGTCGTTTAGCCAATTTGGTGGGACAGAACTTGACACCGATTAAACTAATTACTCCATACGTCAATAAGTAAATCTTGAATGTGAAATCTGGGTTATATTTATATTTTATTCGATTAAAATGTATATGTTCAGTAAAAAAGTAAACTGAATGCTTTCAATTTTCTTATTACATTAATGTTATAAACACTTAGGTATTCATGTCTCATCTTACAGATGGCGTATTTGTGGTGTAGTGACTGCTAAGGAGGATTTACGAAATATCAGAACAGTTCGAAGGGATATGAAAGTGTTCAATTTTGAATTAACTGATGAAGAGGGCGGCTGTATACGCATTGCTGCATTTGATGATGTTGCTGAAGAATTCTACTCAATTATTCAGAAGGGATCGGTATGATATTTGTTTATTTAATCAAGATTATAATTCTCATTCAGTGTGTTAATTTTTCAATCTTTAATGTTTTCTTTTCATATTGATTCATTTGAACCGCTTACTTCACCCTATTTTTTTTTTTTTTTTTGATTGGTCAGAGGCTGACTCACTTTAATTTGTCTAATTAGCTTCAAATTTATTAAGATGTTCTATGTCTCCGGCGGTACTGTCAAACAGGCGAATAAACGTTTTAATACAACAGGACATGATTACGAAATCACAATAAGAAGCGACTCTGAGGTATTCTGTTACTTGGTTATTTCATTAATTATTAATAAGCAATTGTTACTATTTTGTCTTGCTATTTTATTTCTTCCATTTCTCATTCAGCAATATTTTGTTTCTGAATATCTATTTTACCAATGATGTTTCAGGTATCACCGTGTTTGGATCGTGAAAAAATTGAGCAACCAAAACTTTCACTCAGTATTGTTCGTCTTTGCAACGTGGCTAACCACGTTGGTGAATCGGTCGATATCATTGCCATAGTAGAAAAGGTCAATGATATAATGCAAGTAAGCTTTCTTGTTGATAATTTGTAATCTTTTTAAACATATTTTAATTTTTATTCGAGTTTCTGTCAGATGATGAGTTGGAATGTGAGGAATAAATGGTTAAAGCTTTTGATGTTTGTTTTTTCAGGTTACAGCACGAAATACAGGCGCCCAACTGGAAAAGCGGGATATAGTGCTAATTGATGCGTCAGAAACGGAAATCACATTGACATTCTGGGGTGAACAAGCTCGGCTATATGATCAAGAAATTGAGGGTCAGACTATTGGTATAAAAGGAGCATTTGTTAAAGAATTTAATGGTAAGTTATTTATTATTTTTTTTGCAAAAACTGGAATAATTCTAATTTTAATAAAATAATAACCGGCAAGAAAGTTTTTTTTTTTTTTTTTTTCTTCAGGAAGTTTAAGTCTAAGTACCGGAAATTCCAGTCGAATAGAGCTGAACATGGAATGTGCTGAAACAGCAAATTTATATAAGTGGTACCGAGAAACAAGACCTTCCATACAGGCACGTAATCTGACAACAACTGGTCTTACTACAGACAGTTATGGTGATTTTTTTTGATTCCAAAAAGTTTTTGTAATACATTTATACAGTCTTTTATTAAATTAAATCATACAGGACGAGATCTCCGAATCATTTGTTTATCTGAATTTTGTGGATTGGGACGAGATTCGGAGAAAGGCACATTTTTCAATATCACAGCAATGATCTCATCTTTGAAAGCTGATGGCGCTCTTTACAAGGTGAGATTATTTCTTTTCCTGATGAAAATTTATTATTTTCGAGATTTCAAGTCATTTCAAGAAAAGAAGTCAAATTCTATACTTTTATTTAAAAAAAATTTCAAAACACATGAAGGATTTCCTTATAATGTACTACATCAGTATTGCATTACAGAGCTGTGGTACGAATGGATGCAAGAAGAAGGTAATTGAAATAAATAACCAGTATCGTTGTGAAAAATGCGACATAACTTTGGATAAATACAAATATGTTCTTCTCATGACGGTAAGTTTTTTTCATTTTTATTTTTTTTTAATATTAACATACGAAGTCAATAGAGAAGTTTCATCTTTAATGCAGAACATTCTAGATGGAAATATCGGACTTTTCGGGATCTCACTGGGTAACGGTATTTGAGGATAAAGCTGTCAAGCTTTTGAAAACTGATGCAGAGCAGCTTGGACAGTTACTCGATAATAATCTGGTTTAATTTGACTCCTCTAATTTTCGTTGCTTTATCGACTTTTGATTTAATTTTTCCATTGTTTTTTCGCTTGGAAATCATTAGTAATTATAACGGTTTCAATTATTATCTTAGAATTTATGAAAAACAGTCATGCTAATGAATTAATCATTACTCTAACGATGGAAACTTGAGGGGAAAATATGATACAGTAAGGCCAAAATTTCACATTATAATTTCAGCTTGATGAATATAATGAGGTGTTCAATGCAGTCCGCTTTCGTGAATATACATTCCGTATTCGTGCTAAATCGGAATTTTACAATGTAATTATTTAATTGTTTTTAATTTCCTGCGGATATACCTCATATTTTCTAAGGGAAAAGTTGAATTTTACGTTATTTTTTCTGAATTTTGACATTAATTTGACGCTATTTTTAAATGATAGCTACTCCTTTGCCATAAGCAGATAATAAAAATTCTATTTATTCCGTAACGGAAACCTTACAAAGAATATAAATTACATTTTGTATTCAAACTGTAACATGTTTTACTGATGTATGTTACAGGGTGAAGAAAAAAATAAATGGAGTGTTTTCGATATTAACGAGGTCAACTATGACAAATATATTGATGAACTTACACGAGCAGTGAGTAAATTGGAGGAATTGTAGTTATTCAAATCCTTTTCATCATTAGCTATGTGAGATCTCGGTTTGTACGGCACATATGTTTTCCCAGTACTTTATTTTGAAAATTGAAATAATTTTTAAGTTGTAGCAACGTTAAAAGTGATGTTCTGTTGGCCTATTACTAATTTTAAGTCGTCTTGTAGTAACCTTAAACTATAATTTTATCTGTTTTAATTGAAACCAAACTGGATAAGTATTGTTAATGGGAGAAACTTCGCATTCTCCATTTTTCTTTTTTAATTTTTAAATGATTTTTTTGGAATATCAAGCGATAGTTTTTATTTCGGTGTTGAATTATAACTGGTTGTAGACCATTTAAATTTTTTTATATTGAAGTGCCGAAGTCATGTATTTACTTTTGTTGCGTTGTGAAATTTGTTTTTTTCCTTATTCTCACATATACATTTACATTATTTGTAGGTCTTATTTTTTGAAACTTTCTTTTTTTTTTTTTTTTTTGAAAAGTTCTGATATTGTTTGAAAGCATAAATAAAACAAAGATTCTCGAAAGCAACTCTTCTTCTATAAACAATCTAAAGTTTTCAACAGATGCAAATATAATACAGATTTCATCAAAATTTGGGAAGAGTTTTTGTTAACGGTGTTGCAAGTTCCAAATTTCGACTTTAATTATAATATAGTAAACTGCGATTGAAGTCGACGATAAGAGATTCGAAGTTTTCTTGTTTCATGAATGAAATGCTATTACAAACTTAAGTGGAAAATTTATCAAGAAATCATTGACAGTTATCAAGAAATCATTCCCGCTTCTGTCATCTTTCCGTCCTTCTGAAATTGAAGTAATTTCTGGATTTCCATCTTTCTGATTTCTTGATGTCCATAAATTATATAACTGTTAGTGCAATCATGCAAATTAACAATCAGGTGACAGTTTGCTGAGAAAATGATGGATATAATATAGGTGCTGATTGTGTCGTTGGTACCAAATTGGTAGGATTATCGCGAAGTAATATTCCTTGTTGTTGAGCAGTATAAGATAGTGATAATTGTCTTTCATATTCTTTTCGTGCCTATAAATCATATTTTAATTATGTAACATTTTCTTTTTTCTCGAAAATTTGCATTTATAAATAATTTGGAAGAAAAAAGCAAAAAGGAATTAATTCCTTTTATTAATTTAATAACATTGGAGGATTAATAATTGATGGCGCTATCTATATGAGTTTGTCTTTTGTTAAATAATTCTGTCACTGTATAGAGATGATATATCGTAGTGTATGTTCGGGTAAAAATGTTCGGGCAAAAGGTTAACGTAATATTATGAAAGATAACTTACGTAATCTAATTGTTGCGTATAAATTGCTAATTGAGCTCGTAACGCTTCATTTTCCTTCTCCAATTCGTCAACTTTACGTTGCATCATCTTTTCTCTCTCTCGTCGATTACTTCTGGATTTTTTTGCTGCTAAATTATTTTTGTCTCGTCGTTCACGATATCTGAATTATATATATTGCAATTGTTTCAAATTTAGCAAGTAAGGAACTTTTTATTAAATTTAAGGTTTTTTTTTTTTTTTAGATGATTTAATTAAAATTTTATAAATAAAAAGGGACAAATCTTATTAGAATGATGAATATTTTATTTGAGCATTGGGAAATTTAAAAATTTAACTGTTTTCATCATTAACTAGAAATGAAGATTTCTTAATCAAAAGATCATCAATTTTATAAAGCATTGCAAAATTAAGCAAAAAATAAAAAATCTGGGCTTGATGTCTTTTCCAAATCCTGATATTATTCAACTGTCGTTGAACTGCAAATGAATTGTTTTGATTCGAATTATGTTGGTCAACAAAAGAGGCCAACGATCATCACAATAAGATGGTTTAAAGCAGTCAATCACCAAACGAAGACATTTGAAGCCCAATAATACCCGTAAATATTATTCCTGGAAAAATACAGAAGCCAGCAGCAACCACAATGAAAATAATAAAAAGGAAATTAAGTTGGAAGAAAAAACAAAAAAAAAAAAAAAAAGCACAGACACACATACATAGCTAAAAGTTTCAAATTTCAGCACAAAATAAAATTTTTTTCTATCAAAATTGCATTCATATTGTGCAAATATTTAAATATTTTTACAAAAATATTCCAATTTAAAAAAAAAAAAAAAATACACTAACATTTAAGCAAATAAGCTAATGTGCGTAATTTTCAATGTTTAAAATATGTGCTCGCATTTTAGTCAAGTTTTAATTAATATATATTTTGTAAATTATACAAAAAAAAAAAAAAAACGATTAATATCAGAAAAGCGGTAATTATTATGCAAGACATAACATTTTGCTGCAGATATTGCTTGCTTGGCAGCATTTAGCAGCTTGCATGCATCCTTTCCTGCATATCGTTTGCTTTGACAAGAATCGGAAAAGTTGGTTTGCAAATTTCATTACTTTTTACGAGCTTCTTCATCTACTGGAATAATCGATCTACGTTGTTGTAATCGTTGTTGTTGTTGTTGTTGTTGTTCATCACGTTGTTGTTGTTGTTGTTGTTGTGGAAGTGATGTTGAAGCGGATATGATGGAAGATGATGTTGTAGGAAAGTTTTCTTCTTGTTGTTTGGTAATATTAACTACTGATTCATATGGTGGCGGTATTGGCATACTATAAGCTGTGAAATTAGCTGGTACCATATTGGTAGCTACTGGTGTCGGATATGAGAAATACAGATGATTTGCACCATCACTTTTAACTTCACTCATGTATGCTGGTATCATTGTTGTTACAATCATACACCTGTAATTACGATTTAATTAATGATAAAAAAAAAAGCAAAAAAGGTGACATGAAACAAGGTGTGACATCAAAACAAGGTCAAAATCATGTGACAAAGCTTTATAATATCGTATCATTTCAACAAATAAATTAAAATTATTTATACGATAATCTCAAAAACTTTACATAGCATCTTGAAGAGATAATATTTTACACTTAGAAATCTATCATAATCAATATAGAACTCATTCAATTTAAGAAAAAAAAAAATTTCTTGTTTTTTTTTTTTCTTTTTTTGAAAAATTGCTTGCATTTTACCATAATATTACATTATTAGATCATATATTTGCTGAATTATAGTATTTATTTGTGATAAGTATATTTGTGATAAGTTTAATTAACATTTCATTATTTTTCTTTTAGAGAAATGTCATTTTCTTTCAAAAATAAATGAAATTTGATAAGAAATTCAATATGAAAATGTATTTTTTTTGTTAAATTATCAATAAAATTTATAATGATATATTTATTCCTTATCTTTTCTAATTTTACATAATTATGATTATCATCTTCTATAATGTAAAATCTTAAGTTCCTTGCTATTCCTATTTAATTTATGCCTTACTTTGTCATTAATAATACTTTCATTTTTAGCAAACATATCAAACCGTTATTTCATAACAAATATTATCTTTGCTTTTAACAAATACCAAATTAAGTTATTTGGAAATAATATATCTTTTATTTACAGCAATTTTTTATTTTTTTTACTTTTATTTCATGTAAAGAACAAAGAAATGAAAAATTGAAAATGGAAATTTTTCGAAATTTAACCATGAATAGTTGTTGAAAACTAAGATCCAAAACAGTTATTGCATATCATTTACGTGATAATGATAACGTCAAAAGAGTGATAACACGTAAAGATCAATTCCTCATTCATTAATGAAATTCATTTTGAAATAATCGATAATTAGCTAATCACTTATGCTTAATTACAAGCAAACATAGAAGTTTTAAATAATATTTCGATCAGTTAATAAATGTATATTGGATATAATACGTATAATTAATGTATCGATAGGATTATATTAAATCTATAATAAATCGTTTTTTATGCAAATTTAATAAATGCATGAAAAACCATACATAAATAATTTTTGGCAATAATTTTGAATATATTGCAAAACAAATATTTAAAATGCTAAGCGTGTAATTAAGTATTTTAATTGCGTTATATTTTATTTAATGTGACAATATTTAAATGTCATTTCATACATTATACTATCTTTAGTTGCAAGAGTAATTATGCAAGAGTAAAATTGTTATGTACTATGATATACTAATAATATTCAGCAAGAATTAAATTAGAAAACATTTCAAATTTGCACACAAAAAGTAAATATTACCAGAAAAGTTAACATTTTCAATAAACTTAGTAGATCACATATACACTTTATAATAATCAATTGATTTTAATTTTTAAATTCCAAACATAATTAAAATTTCTTCGTAAATACAAAAAATATTAATAATTCTAGTATAATATAGAAATGGTGTAATGATTATACAAAATTTTGCTAAATGAATAATTATGAAAGAAATAAATTATAAAAATTTTTGTACATTTATGAAGTTTGGATTCTGTAAGTTTATTTGCTCAGGTAATCAATTCAAATAACTGTAATTTACTATCATCAAAAGAAGCAGAGGTGTTGGGATAATAATAGTATGTCTTCTGGTAAACATTACTTCAACGTATCTCTTAATGCATCTTCTCTTCATCATCTAAATATCTACCATATTCGATAAGTGTTGATGGCATCTACCTGATTGAACTATTACCTGATTGGTGGTTCATTAATTCATATGAAATGTTAACTATTTCGTTTGAAAAACTTTTTTTTTAAACTTAATTTTTACTCATAACATTTCTATATTTTAATTTAATCATAATAGAACATAAATTGCATGTAAAAAAAAAAAAGAAAAGTTATCAAATTTGATGATAATAACTACAATTATGATATCTTATTTAATAATGATTGCAATTTTTGCAGGAAGATGCTTACAACATTTTCCTGTACTGTAAATTTATTGCTAATGAAAATTAAATTAAAAAAAAAAGTTTCTCAAACAAAATAAATGAAGTTTCATGTGAATTAATGAACCACCAATCAGGTAATAGTTCAATCAGGTAGATGCCATCAACACTTATCGAATATGGTAGATATTTAGATGATGAAGAGAAGATGCATTAAGAGATACGTTGAAGTAATGTTTACCAGAAGACATACTATTATTATCCCAACACCTCTGCTTCTTTTGATGATAGTAAATTACAGTTATTTGAATTGATTACCTGAGCAAATAAACTTACAGAATCCAAACTTCATAAATGTACAATTTTTTTCAAATGTCTCTTCCACTTTCTTCCTCTCTTCCCCTCTCTCTCTCTCTCTCTTCATCCTCTCTCTCTTTTTTTTTAACCATTTAAATTATTCTAATGCTACAGCAATTATTTATGGCAATAGAAGATTGTTCGATATATCTTAATTACAACAAAAATGTTACTTTATCTCATACAATGCATTGCTACAAAAATAAATTTACTGTAGAAGGATCGAATAGTAGAAAGTGAGATTTTGAAATGATTTGAAAACTTTTATTAATTTAAATCCAAATTTTGAAATGATACAGTTAAATGACAACAAAATTGCTTACTAATATTTTAGTCTCATTATTGTGAATTAAGAAAATTAAGCTTAGATAGAAATGATGAAAGGTTATGTTAAATTTCTTTAATTATGAATAATTATTCTTTTCAGCCAAAAAAAAAATTTTAATTTGCAATTTAAAAGGGGAAAAAAAAGCGTCAAAATGTATGCCTTTTCTTATGATTTATAGAAATTATCAAAATATGAAATGAAATAGAAATGTCATCCATTGAAATCTTTAATTTCAATAAGCATTTCTATTTCTATATCATCCAATAAAATTTTTCTAATTATTTGAGTTGTCTCATCGATGAAACATTCTAGTAAATATAAATTAGTTAATTAAGCTAGCAAATTGCAATGAAAATTATTCAAGCTTATACAACTTTGATTAGCAATGCTCTTAAAAATTTATCTGTTGCAAAATATTTTCGATGCATATTTATTTGAACGATTTTTTCTTTTTATTTCTTTTTTTTCTTTTTTTTTTGTTTTCGTGCGAGTAACCAACCATAAACAGAATTTTTGCACAAATTTTTTTTATCCTTCACTATCATTATGAAGTTTGCATTAAATTTCAAATTCAAATTTTCAATTTATTTTTTTCTCTCTCTCTCTCTCTTTCTCTTCAATCATTAATGTATATTTTTTGTTTTGTAAGTGAAAAAAAAAAAAAAAAAAGTCAAATCGAGAATAAAGTATGTTAAGCCTGAATAATTCTCTGCTAAGAATAACTTTTATTATTACTGCAAAATACATTTAAATAAATAAATGAATTTTTATTGATTTACTTTAAAGAAAACAATTTATTTTAAAAAAAAAAAGAAAAAACAAAACAAATTGCAAGTTGTATTGCATTGTTTTGGAACTGTAATTTTTGTGGTACTGTCATACAGGTGTATCAAAACAACGCTGAGGTAAGTGAACAAGCAACAACTCCAGTACATACTACTCCAAATCATATTGTCAAATCGTTTGCAGAGATGCAATGACACTTGTCATCATCCATAATCAATAATATTTCAGCACATGTAATAAAGCATATACCGTAGGAGAATAATTTTAACTTTTTACTCGAAAATACCAATGTTAGCAAATTTAGTTAGATACGCTAATGTTGTTTTGTTGTTGTTGTTTTCTTTTTCGAAATTTCATAAATTCAATGTAATTTATTTTTGCAAATTAAATGACTAAAGTTTGACAAGAAGAAATTTATATCTGATGGAAATTTTATCTTCTATCGTAATAACTTACCGTAGTTTTTACCTTTTTATTACAGAAGACTAAAAATCACAACCGAATGGTTGGAAAAAAACAGATGTGATCGTCTCTATCTGTTAATTAACCTGGAAACACATTAGTGTTGAGTGCAAATAGATGATGAGTACCGTATTTTCATTACTTACTAACTCAAATAGTATTAAAAGTAATTTTGACTTACCTGTTTAATTGATATTTTAATGAAACCAATCTAACTATTTAAATTTTGTAAATTTTGACGTATAATTAATAAAATGTCTTTTTTTTTTATCCACTTTAACATTGATTTTCAATAAAATATCAAAAATTTTGTTTTGTTCTTACAAAACTTCTCAAAAAGTACATTTGTGCTTAAACTTTCCCAACATATTTATTTCAAATCATAAAAAAATGAAATATACTAAAAATATGCAAGCATTATGAACTTACCTTAAAAATTATATGTCAAAGTATAAATAATTTGTATCTTTAGACTGTAGTGCGCTGCTATTATGATTTATGTTATTAATTTAATTTACACTATTGTTCGTAATTTAAACGTTGTTTTTTAACTTTGTCCATTTTATACTTTTTACATTTGTATTCGTACTGTATTTCAACTATTTGATATATACCCATAGTAATAGTTTGCTATACTTTGGGCATTAAATTCCTATTTTTGTTGCTCTTACCTTATTAATAGTCTAATTATGATCATATCATGATGAAAATTATCAGAATCATACTTAAGTTTCATTTTGCACATGAAATGATGGAAAACACGATAACAGTGCTTTCGAATGTGATCATGATCACTTATATTTTATGTTTGCATATATGCAAATTTTCATATTTATACTTGCATATAAGCAAGGCAAAAATATTTATTTGAATATTTTTTCGGCAAAGCAAAAATATTTATTTGAATATCAGTATTAAATTATAATCAAATGATAATAACGATATTAATAAATCATATTTCAATGAACAATTGAAATGTCTAATAATAATAAATTTATTATTTTTATAAAAATTATTTATAAAAAGATATTTCGATTTAAAAAATATATATATATGATGAAACCTGAATTATTCCCGATACATCCTGATATTTTTGTACTCACTAATAAGCATTATTATTTTGCAAAAAAAAAAAAACAAAACAAAAAACAAAACAAAAAAACAAAAAAAAAAAAAAAAAAAAAAAAAAAAAACGAAACGAAATAACAACTTCAAATATAAATTAAAAAAAAAAGAAATGAAAAAAAAAATTTCTTTTCTTTTTTTTTTTTAAATTAACATAAATTTGTCTTAAGATGAACTTCTTTCATCGATGTAAGTAATTAGGAAGAGGAATGATAGTAAAGAGAAAATGCGCAACTTGACGCAACGTTATAAGATTGCGGCACGTGAGGTGAAATGGGCAGCTATTGTAGGAATTTCAGCAGGTAAGAAAGATTGGAGGGATGAGAAGTAGCGGGTAATTATTCATTTGAGGTCAAGCAATGAGCTAGCTCTTTCTCAGGTCATTCATTCAGTCATTCAACCGCAAATATCAGAGTGAGAAGGAGAACTCATTGTGTATTCAATCAAGTTCATCGTTCATTCTAATTAAAATAAAAAATAAAAAAAATTAGTAATAAAGAAAATTATGCAAAATTTTTATTATTCAATGAAAAAAAAAAAAGGAAGAAAATATATGATAACATATAGATAAAATCAAAGAGAAATAAAAGAAATCAAAAAATAAAAAAGAGAATGAAATAGCGGTATTATCTGCATAAGGACAAGATGAGTCATTGTTGTTTCGAGTACCATTGCTACTCTTGAGGTCATAGTTATTTACTGCTAATGCACCTCTTTCTTTCTTTTTTTTTTTATTGAAGATGACAGAACTCATTAGGAGAAAAAAAGAAACGATCACATCACATCACATCAATCAGCTACTGTATCGAATTATAATTGAGGGAATATTTCAAATAGTATATGATAAAATAGTCAAACAGTTATTAATGTTAATATTTATTGATAATATAAATAATATTAATAGAAATAATATTAATAAAATAATATTAACAAAATTTGCTTATAATTAATTTGTTGCTAAGTTATGTTATAGAAATGTTAAATTATTGTTTACAATGTACAAATTATTATTGCTTATAGTATTAAGTTATTGCTTACAGTGTTAGGTTATGCTTATAATATTAAGTTATGCTTACTGTATATGTATGTATGTATGTATGCATGTGTGTATGTAATGTTATGTAATATGTATGTATGCATGTATGTATGTTTGATTGATTGATTCAGTTTTGTTGTTTTGTTTTCTTTTTTTTTGTGTGCATTATACAGTAAACTTTGGGTTGGATATTTTGGTCAGATTTTAGTCATTTTGAACATTTCTTTAACTTTTAGACATTTTAACTCTTCCTCAACTCATTTCTTTTAATTGTCCTTCCCCTTTTTAACATTCTCAATAATTTTTGATTCAGTATTATTTAAAATTATCAAAAAAATTTCTCAAGCCATTCCTAACCAATCTTACTGCAACATTGGGCTATTTAATATTTTAATAAAATTTAAAGTTATATAAATCACTTCAATATCTATAAAATAACGAGAAATTGTGAACAATTCATTTATTTCTTTGTGAAATAAACTTGTTTATGTAGTGAAAATGTTTAAATTATTCACAAATGTTACCTTTAAAGATGCAACTTGCATCAATTTGCACATTATACATCATAGTCTGCATCATTAAATTTGTTTTTTTTTTTTCATATATTTCAAATTGTTCAAAAAAATGCATGCAAACCTGAGGATTTTATTATTTACAAATTTAGCATAAAGAAAAAAAAAAAAACGATAGTTTAGAAAAATGGAGCAACAAAGAGGCATTCATGAATTGCAATTATTATTCAGTTTTATAGCTAACAAATAAGTTATGCATTTTGTTACATAAAAGATATACAGTATAGTTTATACAATTAACTAAGATGAAAGCAATTTCATTCAAACATTCATAATTAGATTACTTCTTCACTCCTGTCAACGGTTTTAAATATTTTCAAATGTCGACACAATATTTTTATAACTCATTCAGAACTTGTTGCTTTATCAGTAGAAATTTAGCAGCTAAAGTGAAGAATCACGAGCACCTGAAATATTCACAGTTTCAAGTTACAATAATGACGCCATAATTGACATTTGAGGACATAATAGCCTTTGAATGGTTGGTTCTTTTCTTCCTTGAAGGTATTTACAACTTTTCCCACAGAGTGGTGCTGTAATGGAAAAGAAGCAAATTTCTAATATAAACTAACAAATTATAACAGCAAGACAACTATGCAAAATATTTCACAAAAAATCAATAAAAAAAGCGGGAAAGTCAGTCAGCACAACAATTGGCATCCTTACCAGCACTGTTGACCTCCCGCCTTAGATAATCTTTTGCCGGCGAAACTGAACGTTTCACAAAACCATAATATTTCCAAATTCAACCAAAAAAGGATAAGCGCAAATGCGCCTCACCACATTCTGTTCAAATTACCTTTTGGCCGCGGTACAACGGTGGAATGTTGCAGTACCGTAGCAGCCAATTCCTGAAAGAAAAACGCTGAGACATATTTAAGCGAAAAAATTCTAATTTCTCAAAATTTCACATTGTAACCTAAATCATGTGAATCTCATTTTGATAGTTATCCACTGTTAAATTTGTCAGTATTCTAAAATCTAACAATTACTAAAAAAATTCCGAGAACAATTGTGAATGAAATAATGGATCCAAAAAAAATAAGTTGATATAAGAAAAATTTCCTTTTCTGCCAATTCTAATCCTTCCACAGCACGGAGAAGTTTTCAATTTATTCATAATGATAAATGTAATAATTAAACGGTTGATATCAATAGATTATCTCAGGAAAGTCAGGAAACATCTAGCTGTCAAGAAAGGTTTGTATTAAAGCTAACACTATGAAACAAGAAACATAAAATTAGACCAAGTGAATCTATCGCTAATTGATTCAAATTTTAACTAGTAAATTTAATGGACAAAGATTACCTGGCAAAACTGCGACAGTATGATAGCTGCGAAAACAAACTGCTTTGCTCGAGCATGATCCAACGTTACATCACGGCTTTCAATTGCTTTGTGTGTATAAATGCGAAATTCATGTGGATGAGAAGAATCGTTACTGGGATAGAGGCGCTTATTGTTGGAAGATCTGAATCTAAAAAAGACATTTATTAAACTTCAATCTCTCTAAAATATTTATAATTTTCTGCTACAGAAACTTTCTATTGCACAGTTTTAGCAACTTATCATAACCAGATAGTTTGAAACTCCTGTATAATTTTCAGTATGTCGAGACAAAATTATTTGTATCATAATAAATTTAATCTTCAACAGAAAGATGTGTGCAACTATAACTATGATATCATAGGTATTTTGATATCTGTACTGACAAAAAAGATATTAATATTGATGTTAGAAAATAACAAAACCAATTAATATAGAATAATAATTACCTATTAAATAAACCTCTCGAAGAACTCCTCCCTTCCATGTTGCCGTTTCGTGAAAAGGATTCAGAAGATCGTAAACGCCGACTACTTTCCACAACCTTTAATATCAAAACTTTTAATGAATAAAATTCAGAAATCTTTGTAAGGATAAACAATTGGAAGAAACTTACTTTCTCATAGCGTTCAGCCCTTGATCGCAGAAATTTAATCCCTCGTTCCAGCAAAACATCAAAACCATCGAGTGATGATGCATATGCATCAATCTGCGTTTTTAGCGAATCCATAACCTTAGGAAGAAAATCAAGTAAAAGAAAAAATTGACGAACACAGAAATAAAATTTTTAAAATTCTGAGAACAATTCATACCTACCTTAAAAAGATTTTTCACATTAGGCTGCAAAAGCATGCGCTGATCAAACAAATAATGAGCAATGAGTGGCTGAGGATATGATGCAAGTGCTGCTAATACCGATGTTGTTTGTAGTGTCACATATAACGAATTATCCAGCATATTCTCCAAGGAACGCATTATAGATTCAAGGAAGGGTCCGACACCTTTATAAAAATCATTCACTTCAAAGATATATACAAATATATATATATATATATATATATATGTAACTTATCTGGTTTGATATAAAGATAACTTTTTCAGTACGACTACCTAGCATTTCATTTCTTATTGGATATGAAAATATATAGATGAGAAAGAAAAATTCTAATACATAGCACATCTAATGAGTCTTATGAATATCTCAAAACCAATAAATCTTAAAAAGATAAATAATACTGCTAATAAAAGAAATGACATTGTCAACCCATGTTACTCATATGCAAAAAGTTAACAAAGTGGATAAATAATACATTATAAAGATAAACTCCTAAGGAAATATTGTTTCTGTGATACTATTAGGAGACAGACAACAAGTCAGATTTGACCAGAATGTTTCGAGTTGAAGCTCTCAATTAATTTACAACAAGCAAATAACAGTGCTTTATTGAAAAAATACCTTGATTTCCAAAACATTCGATCGGCTTCCCTAATGGTGCAGGATCTTCATCATCGTTGTCGTTATTTGTATCACTTTTAAATCCATCACTTTCCAAATCTTGCAGTTTGGCTTCAGCTTTCAATTCCTCAAGATATTGAATTCGCGAATCAATTAAAGCCATATTTTCCTCCAAAGAATGCTTTATTTTCGATGCCGGTACTCTGTCCATTAATGCCATAAAAGTATCCGTATCCTGAATGCATGATTGACTTCCAAAGTATAAGCGAATAGATCTTTTGACTTTTAAAGAAAGCATATGCACAGAAATTTTTCCAGAGTAAAGAATGAGTTCAGAACAATACTTCATTTATTTGAAGCATCAAAGAGCATGCTTACTGAAAGGTATACGGGGGATTTCGAATTAAACTGCACCTCAATTTGTCCCCATCCTCTCAGAACGAACGATCGTGCCATTTCAATATCAGTATCACAATTTGCACTTGTGCTTGCCAAACTTGCTTTGTCCGAAATTGATTGTGCTGGCGCTCCACTCATACTGACCACGCTGGGATTGATCGCCTCTGTGTCAGTTTCCGATAATTCTCCGTATGCAAATTGAAAATAATCACTTGATGACGTCATCATCATAAGTGATGTGGGTCTAAATGAATAGGTATTAGTACTGAGTAATTTCAACTTAAATTTAACGAAGATGGATGAATAAATCATAAAAGATAAAAACTCATCAACATTTCATATAGCAAGAACATCAGATTATGACAAAACTAACGTTAAAGCTGGTATAATAAGTTCGTCGCCTTCATCATCCAAAACTAATGATGAATCTGCTATATCGTATGGAAAGCTACTTCTTGATGACGATTCCTGTTCTCCCAGCTCCGGTGGTGGAGTATGTTGACGTAAACTATCAGCAGTAATGTGAGCATTTCGGCTCACGAAATACCGATTCAAACCATTTCGCGCTGAGGCCATTGATGAACGTACTGAAGAATGTCGAACAAAAGCCTAAATAAAAAGAAGAAAATAAAATAAAAGAAATAAACAAAGCAAGATCAAGCTATGAAAAATCTGCTCCAAAATATATTTATTTGGTAGAAATTTTACAAGCTATCAACAAAAAAGCAATATCAACCATGAATTTTTTTTAAATGAACAGGCGAGAACTCAATTTTATCAAAAAAAGATATTTTTCGATGTGGGAACTGAATTGTATCACAGTGAATTTTGCTTACAAAAAACAAAGTTTTGTAGCAATATCTCATATTGAAGTTTTATTTGAAAATAATGAAGGTTTACCTATCTGAAGAATAAATTACTCACTCCATTGGAATTAGTCGCACTTTCTTCGTCTGAATTTATCTTTGGCATAAAAAATGGACTGCGACCATCATAACTCCAAACCCACTTTTCACAACAGGCGTCTGTTGTTTCTTGCACATAATTTCGACATTCAGAGAGATAAATATGAAGAGTTTCTTGGGAACACAGCTAAAACATGTCTAAGGTAAATGTTAATAAATAAATTAAATCTAAATAAAAAGAAACGAATTAGCACAACCAAAAAACACGAATGTATTAGAAACTTACTGCTGAAGATTTATATGTACATTCAGGAACAAACGTTAATAAAGTCTGAGCAGCAGTCCTTACATACATTTGATTCTTCAAATGAAGCGTTTGGTTAGGTTGTAGGAATGTACAAGGCAGAAGATATCTAAAAAAAATTCATAGTATCAATTGAGGGCATTTTTTCAACTCAAGACCTCTTAAAAAGATGAAATTATAAAGCAACCGAACTAAGGCAAAATTGATGAATTATCTGAAAACAAAAATGCAGAAAATATCCTACTTGAAAACGAGATCGAACATGATGTCTTCGCACCGTAAATCAATCAGCGTTCTTACCAACGATAAACTAACTTGGCTCAGCTGGAAAATAAGAATACGAATACAAAAATAATATAAGAACATGAAAATACGACAAAACCCTCAACTAATTTCTAAAACTGCATTGTTAACTTCTCGTAATGTGAAAATCTTCATAACTTATTAAAATCAATTTCGTACAAAAAATTTTGTGAAAAGTAAAAAAAAAAAAAAAAAAAAAAAACTTTTTAATAACTTTGATAGTTCTGGGAAAAAATAAATTTTCGTTATTTACTGAATATGATAAATCAAAATATTTGATTAGATAAGGACAACAATTTTGGGATGAGAAAACAAACGCGATTTCCGGCAGATATCCTTTCTACGATAACGTCAAGCACCGTTTTGTTACTTTCGCAGCTTTCATTAAGAAGCAATTTTACAATTGTTTGTACAAGTACTGTCTCAGTGACACTATCCAAACAAAGATGATAATAGGCTGTTGATGAGATAAGCTCATCTTGCCCACCCTGAAAAAATTATTGTTAAAAGATAGGCTTCTAAAATGTTGCGTTAAATAAAACAAAAAGAATATGGAATGTAAATAAGATAATGTTATAAAATTAAATTTGTTCAAAATTAAGGACTGTTGTTCCATCTATGAGGAATGATACCTGAAGCAATGAAGGTAGAACGACAGGAAGCAAAAACCCGTGATAGACATACCTAATGACCTGTGACACAACATAACCATGAGCAACCTAAAAAGCTTTTCACAAAGTGATTATGAAAATTCTAACATATATCTTCAATCTTTTGTTATGAAGAAAATTTTTCTTCAAGGAAATTTTAAAATTTTATGAGTTCTCCTTAATATTATAACACCAATATACATAACTAATAAATCAGTAACCTGTATAACAGCATTACAGAAAATTAATGACGAATGGAAATCCAATAAGCTGGAATAAGAATCGATATCATCGGCATTTATCTTATGCCAGCTGTCACTTACATATAGCATTGAACCAAATGAGCGTGATAATTGGGAAAAGCAACCCGAAAGACCTGTTGCAACCACCGGACAAAAATTTGACTGCAACAGAAAGCACAAATTTTCATGCAGGATTAAAGCGATCAGACAAGACAAATGAAGTGAAAAAAATTTGTAGAAAATCAGAACTGGTTTTAAAAAACCCTAAAAAAATACTGAAATTGAAGACCAATGGGTAATCGAACGTAAGTTTTGCATGAGCCACTTGCAAAGCAACTCCTCATAATTGCCAAAACATTTCATCTAATGATTAATATTTTCAAAAATACGCCATTCGGCTTAACTTCACTTATCTATTTTATCTAAAGAAAAGAAAAACTAATAAATAATTAAAGATTTTTAGCAAACCTTTACAGCGATAAATGTAGCAACACGTTTCAATCGTCGTGAGACGGAAAGTATAAGAAGTAATGCATCGCGTGCTAACTGTCCTACTTCACCGGAATCATACAGATATGGAATCAGCAAGCTAAATACCAAAAACTGCTCATCACAATCATCATCAAAATCAAAAAAGAAATGCAACAACGTCGTATCTTCCGCTAGTTTTGTGCAAATCTGAAATGCTTTTCCTGTAGAAAACTTATATACGTACATACAAGGTTAAATATTCTAAAAAATTTGTTAATGGCGTATCATCCATATTTATAAATTAATATATTGAAGCTTACACTAAGTCTAGATAATACTGTGGGAGGACATACATCATACATATTGTTCACTACGAAAATGCTGTTTTTGTTCATAAATAAAATTTATTTAATCTCATCAATAAGTCTTTTTGGTCAGAACCATGAAGATACAGTTAACTAGATTACAAAAGAACTAAATTATATCAAGTGTTAACCTGGTTTAAAAGTAAGACGAAATGTCTATCCGTATTAGATGGAGTGAAATTTCTCTTTTCTGCACTCTTTCTACACCAATCCAGCAATTTCAGCAACGGAAGTAACATCGGCTTGTGCACCAACAAGCAGTGATTCTGTGTATGACTTTCTCCAACAATGACTTCATAAAGACCAATCATATTAACCTGAAAACGACGAAGAATACTGTCATTTGTAAAGCATTTGACAAGACAAATATATATATATATATATATATATACTGGATTAATTCTTAGTTTGACGTACGAAGTACTCTGCATTTACATTAATATCATCAAGTTTTAAAATAAAGCCTATAAAAATTATTTTACCAAACATAACACTACAAATGATAAATCTTAGCAAAGCCAACGTTTCATCTGTATTATGCAGAAAGACTGTTCAATAATAAAATTTCATTTCTACGACCCATAAAACTGATCGAAATAGCGTTAATATTATATCACAAAAATCTATACATTATTTTTTCCAAAAGCAGTTCTATAAGATTAACTGTGCAGTCCTAATGTTCTAATCCTAGTCATCCTATTTCAATTTTATTCAAGTCAGTAAACCTGGATACCTGACATGTTGGTGTTAAAAAATGTGGAGCAGCAATGGCCCAGTCAACTACTCGTTCCATAATTTGGTGAGTAAAATGACGATCCAATATGGAGCCAATAGCAGATTCTGGCTGAGCATTTGCTTCCATCATTAACAACTGCACCGTGCAATTTAAGTGTTGGAATACAGTTATCACCTACAAAAATTACATGGAAACTAGTAAATTTTCATCTTTTCAAAAAAGAATAATAAAAAGAAATGGTAAAGAAAGAAATAATGTTGCAAATGAATTTCAGCATAAATACTACCAATAAAAAAATTCCGAATAATAAAGGATTTTAAATATTTGAGTGAAAGAATTGCAGTTAAACTAGTAAATTCATCAACTGTACGCGAAATTGTTTAACATAATTTCAAGTTATATGTTTTATTTGAATTACTGACTTTCTCGTAGCTTATCTCCTCTTCATTTTCAAGCAACTTTTCGGCTGCTTCCCAATGTGCATCAAAACAACTTTCCCATGAGCATGGATCAGATGCAAAATCGACATTCCAATGGATATCCGGCTTCGCAATGATGAACGGTGTTATTGGTGGAGGAATAGATGAATCAGCAAGTTGTTCCACTGCTGCTGACTCAGAAGAAGAGAAAGCAGTTACCCGTGATGTGCTAGCCAGGGAAGTTGAACCCAATTTGGAAAACCATCGTCGCATATCTATGAGAAAATTTTAACAAACATTTATAGTTTAATGTACAATGCCTTCATAGTGTACTAAAAATATATTTAACTAATAAATAAAGCCAAAAAATAAAGAGTTGATTAAAGAAACAACACATAGTACAGAGAACATATTAATACATTAAACACTTCCAGTTTTTCTCTTTGTTCCGATAAAATAAAAAATGTGATGGAAACGAACCAATCATTAAATAAAATACAAAAAAAAAAAAATTTCACTTTATTTGTTCATTTTGTTCGAATGTTTGTTACAACAAACCGAACAGAGTAAAGGTAAAATCATTTTGCGCTTACAAAATAAAAAGTAATATATGGCTGCAATAAATAGCGAAACTACACCTCGCAACTAAATATCACCTAGAATAGACTAACGAGGTGTTACGTTGTCGCGGGATTAGATTGTACTAGTAGATTAGACTGTACTAGTAGATTAGACTGTACTAGTAGATTAGACTGTACTAGTAGATTAGACTGTACTAGTAGATTAGACTGTACTAGTAGATTAGACTGTACTAGTAGATTAGACTGTACTAGTAGATTAGACTGTACTAGTAGATTAGACTGTACTAGTAGATTAGACTGTACTAGTAGATTAGACTGTACTAGTAGATTAGACTGTACTAGTAGATTAGACTGTACTAGTAGATTAGACTGTACTAGTAGATTAGACTGTACTAGTAGATTAGACTGTACTAGTAGATTAGACTGTACTAGTAGATTAGACTGTACTAGTAGATTAGACTGTACTAGTAGATTAGACTGTACTAGTAGATTAGACTGTACTAGTAGATTAGACTGTACTAGTAGATTAGACTGTACTAGTAGATTAGACTGTACTAGTAGATTAGACTGTACTAGTAGATTAGACTGTACTAGTAGATTAGACTGTACCAGTGTTGTATGCTTCATGAGAATACTTTTACATAGTTACAATTTAAAGATTGAAAGGTTAACTATCAAACAATTTCTTAATGACATTATGAGAGATTTGTTATTAAAGAATCTCTCCTCTTCTCTTCTGTCTCTCTCTCTCTCTCTCTCTCTCTCCCTTTCTTCCTTACTTCCTAATAATCATTTTTAAAATTTTCACATATTTCATTTTATTTTTTCTTTTCTGTGTTATTTCTTGTATATTATATATTTTTATATTATTTTTTAATGTATTACATTAATATATCTTCTACATTATAGACATGTTATAACAATATATAGTTGATTAACAATAATTAGATGATACATTGATGATAAAAGTTCACACACATACGAGAGCTTTAATCATTTACCTTTAAAATTAAAAAACTCTGAAAGATTAGCAAATTTGTGAGAGAGAGAGAGTTAAAATGATTAATTAAACAGCTAAATATGTAATAATTTTGTGATAAAAGAAAAGAATTGATACTAACTGAGAATCCAAATGCTCCACATTGTTCTTATCATCGCTATCATTATCACATCACATTATATTCGATTGTGGAAGAATAATTTGTTGTTGCCATTGCATTCTACCATCAAAGTATTATATCTGTAAAGGTGAAATTTTTAACTGTAACAAAATTTTTCGAAGAAAAAAAAACACTGAAATTTTCAATTATTCGTAATTAAGAAACGAAAGAAAAAAAATGGTATTAACAGCAGTGTCGCATTCTTTCTCTCACTCTCTATGCAATGACAAATGATCATTTAAAATTGAAAATCATCAATTGTAAAAAAAAAAAAAAAAAAGATAAGTACAACTAGACTGACAATGTCAACAATAATACATGTTCTATAATAATGAATAGTGAAATTGGACAGGAATAGGATTATGTTTATTCTCTCAGATTTATATTTGGATATAATCGTTATGAATATGTTCAAATGAAAATAGAGTAAAATGAGGTAAAAATTTTATTACTCATCAAAAAGATATAAAAATTCAAAACAATGCTAAATTAACTTTATTAAAATGTTCAAGAAAGGAAAAGCATAAGAGAAAAATAGTTTTAAAATTACTTTCTTCATGCACACACATATTGTGTGATTTTGAAACGATGATACATTTTTTGCAAGATGACACACATCTTTCTCTGTATTCAACTAGTTATAAAGTTATCGATCAGTTCACTATTACAATTCTTTGATAAATTTTTTCTGGAATTCAGGTTTCACAGTTAGGTAAGAATATAAATTAACGAATAGCAAACACCATTGCATATATATTAATTAGTTGTTAAGTGTGAAATACATGTTTTAAGCATTCAAGAATTCAGCCTGATTCTGTGAAGTTGGATTTATCTTATTTTGTGCATTCTTTTTTTTTAGTAATTAATGTGTTTATAATACTTTAGATTTTTATGTTTAATAAAATCAGGGAAGGATAAATTGCTGGAATTTGTGGAGAAATAATTAAACATGTTTATATTAGTAAGAGGAAAAAATCGAAATAATAGCTAATGCTTGGTTGTTTTGGAAAGTTATGAATGCTTGGTTGTTTTGGAATGCTATTTCGGGAAAGCTATAAATCCAAAAATAAAATTTCTTAGTGAAGTTATGGTTAGTAATTCTTAATAAAAAGAATAAGAAAAAAAAGAGACGATTATCTTTGTCAAAAGAATTATTACTCTCCTACATTCTTCAGGATTCTGTGTAGCTTTACGACTTGTCATTAAATTATTTCATCAATTTAGCTTTATATTTGCTAAAACAATTAATTTTAAGCTTTTCATATAAACGCTTGTCTAGCTATCTATAATTACTCTAATTTGTCCAAAAGTTTGTTCTGATCTATTCGTATATATTTCTGCTACTCTTAACAAATTCATTTCAACAGAACAATCATCAAATTGTATGCTTTTTTTTTTTTTTGTTTTTAAAGCAAGAATAAAAATAATGTATTTGCGGCGGAGAAACTATCATTTATCAAAAGAATTAAATGGGTCATTTTTCTTCTTTTTTTTTATTGAAAAGCTTATTCTTTTTGTAAATGCTTCACTAATGGATGAAGATAGTTTGTTAAAGTGATTTTTTTTTTTTTTTCATTTTCTTTAAACAAACAAAATGACTAATTCATACAGACATTTACTAATCGATTTAATAATAATATGGAAAAATTTTTTCAAATCTAAAGGAAAAAAAAAAGCGAAAACATTGAATCATTATTTTGCATAGTTTGTAACATCGTAAGACAGAATTGTGTAATTATACAAAAAAAATTTAAAATACAGTAATTAATGCATTAAGAATGAATGGAAGTACGGTATATAATGTAGTACGGTATAAATATTGACATAATACAGTATGATATTAAGTGTGAAATAAACAATCGATTTATTAAAGCTTATTTTGAAAAATACATAAATCGAAAATTTTTTCAAGTATATGTTTAAAATCAATATTCCTAAGTTTTTCTTTTTTTCTTTTTCTAACTATTACATTACTTCACATTTGTATTTAAATTATAATTTCATTAATGAAATCAAGTCTTACTGGGAGAAAAAAGCGCAAAGAAAAAGGTTGATGAATTTGCAGTTGAAATGGTAGCAAAGTGAAAGTAAACAATCAAAAATTGACAGGAAAGAGACAAGAGTTGAGAATAAAAAATATTTGATAGAATATTTAATTTAAGGTTTTCAAACATTCAAAAATGAACCATAATTTCGTTCCGATACTTACTGCAAGCATTCATTTTTAAAAATCTATTAATTATAACTGATTAAAATAGAAGAGTTATAATCTATTAATAAATTTATTGAAATAACTACAAGACGGAGAAATTTAATAAATTGGAAATGGCGAAAATGTGGAAGAGAGGTAAGAGTTGTACAGGTTTTCAGTTTTTATTCATTCCTATTTTAATATTTCTACTTGAAGTATTACTTCTTCAATTCTTTAAAACATATTTGTGGAGAAGTGAATTTCAAGCTAAATTCATTTCAGTAATGGACTTAATTTAAGCAAAGAAAAAAAAAGAATAAATTGAGAAAAAAAAATTGAAAATTCACGATGAAATAATAGAAGTTACGATAAATGAATGAATATTCATTTAATAATAATACAAAATTTCAAAAAAACTTAAAATATCAGAATGGAATAAATTTTGCTCAGTTCTAGAAACAGTATTCAGCTTCTACTGACTGATTCTTTGCATGCTTAAATGTTAACACAGCAAACAATCATTCTTAGCATTCTCTCAAATCTAAAAAATAATAAATTGAAAAAACTATCATTATTTGTTTTGGTTTCCTTCTGTAAAACAAACAACATTACCATTTGCAGATGTACAAATAGAAAATAAAAAATCAAATGCCAAAATAAAAATATAAAATAACTTTCTTTGAGCTTCAAAACCTTCACAAAATTTAATGCATCTTTTAGCACAAAAAAAAAAAATTCCATTTGTATGTGTTAATTCTCTTACTCACAAATACTCATAATTTTAAAAATTTAGTTACTTTTGATTAAATGAAATTGAATTTGATTGAAATTGGCTTAAATTGATTTAAAATTGATTTGGCTTAAAATTTATTTCATCACAACTATATCTTAAAGAACTTGAAGTTCTATCAAGAAACAACCCATCCAAAGAAGTTCATTTTATATTTTATTTTGACATTTAATTTTTTTTTTTCTGTTATAAGGACTGTCAATGACAATAAATTATTAAAAAAAAAAAAAAAAAAAAGTAACATAAGTTTTATAGAATGAAGCCAGAATATAGGAAATAAAAATGTCAACTAGTCTTTTCAACGAATTCCAACTGCACTTTTCCGGATCAATAAGTAGCCTAAAAATTTCATCCTATTTTTTTAACCCAACTAATTTTCATCTTCCCCTTTTGATTTCTTATTTTTCTGTACAAAATCCATTATACAGCATATGGCTTAATGCTTAGCAATTTATCAAATAATTTATTTCAATCAACCTTTCAACTTTTCTTATCAATATGTTATACTTTTCCAATCAAAAAGTCTATTTTTTTATAATTTATGACACATTCTTTCAAACAAACATACCGAAATGCATTTAATTGATATCAGTCATATTTTCAACTCTTGAATTTTTCAATGACGGAAAAAAAAAAGAGAAAATGGTTGATGAAAATTATTGAGAAGAAGAAATCATTCAATTAATTAAACTAATTTAAACTTAAACAATTAAATTGTTTAAGCTCATTTTCACATGAAATTTAGTGATCATAAAATAAGCCAACTATCGTCTATTTCCTAAATTTTACTCACACACAACAAATTTAATCAATAAAATCAGAAACAATTATTGCGAACAAACACTATGTAATTAATTTAATTATAACGATACCATAAAAAATAAATAAATAAAAATTACAAATCTAAATTGACATTCAACTGAAATATTTCTTATGCAAAAGTTGTTAAGCAATCATTCAAAGTGATTACGAATGAATGAACGAACAATCGACAAGCATACACAATAAATAGAACCATAAAATTCAGCGATTATTATTTTTATAAACCAGTTTAACTAAATGATATAATTAAGTAAATGCTAAATCATTTTATAAAAAAAAAGAAATTTTGACTGAATTTGTTTCTGTGAATTATTTCATTTATCAAAAAATAATTAGTTAAAATACAATGCTATATCATGGGATATTTCAGTTTAAATTTTTTGCAAGATTTAGCATAATTTATATTTAAGATCAGTTAGATTTAATCGAATTTTTAACCTGGAATATTATAATTCAAATATTTCACATCTAACAATAAAAACTTCTACAAATATGTCAAAAGTTTATAACAGTTAAATGAATTCTCCATTAAGATTTTATAGTTGTATCTTATCATTTTCGTCTCCCTTTTTTTTTTTTTTTTTTTTTAATATGATATTATTTAGCGATCTTTTTTGTACTTACATAAAAAATTTGCATTAGTTTTTTAGTCTATCAATTACTTTGAGATTCTGAAACTGCATAAGTCTGTAGCAGATTAACAATATCCAATGTTCACTTTGCTTATCACTTGATAATTACACTTACAATGCTATCAGCGATTATCAATCATATTTTTTATGGCATATCTGTAAACAAAATTGAATAATTTCAATAAAATTATGCAAAATAAATGAACAGCATGAAGTTTAATCTCTCATTTTACTTTGATATAAAATATAAAGATATAAATGTTAAATGTATTGTGTTGAAATGAAAAGGAATTGAAATTAATGACAGCAATGACGTATTGCAGTTGCAATCATTTAATGCTGTTGCAGATGCATAGGAGTGGACATGTGAGGAAGGCAATTTGTATTGCTATCTGTCTCCTCTCATTTGACGCAGTCTTTTATATGTCTTTTCTTATATCAATAGATGTTAAAAATTCTATTTCGACCCACTCGGAGTTTGCTGTATCGTAGGATGATATCGCTGAATGGAGAAGCTCATAAACTTACCTGGCTGGGAGGATCTCGCGATCACGAAGGCGGGACCTCCATGGTGAGGCTTGGCCATTGCACTTTTCGGTCCGGCTGACCCGTGTGGCTATCCCGAGTTGGGGTCAGCCAACAGCAAAATTTTTGCGTTTGGGGACAGCGTTCGCGCTTCCCTGCTTAAGCAGATTAAGTTGAGTGGAGATTGGTTTGCAACCTACCACTGCGCATAAATAAGCGCATTACACCGCATTGCTTGATGCGGACGGGTAATGCAGCAACGTCATAAACAACAGCATGCATAGCTAAGGCCATTGGGCACTAACAACACTGCCGTGGAAAGAATTTCAAACTATAATAGCTGCTATATGATATATTTAGATTATCACTACCGTATCTCTTCAAATCACACGTCAAACACAACTATACAATTAATCTCACTGTGAACTTTTGCTCTCACATGTGAAGTGCGGGCTTTTACGGTTTAGCATGAATCTAACATATGCCACTGAACACTTTCCCATCCTAAAAATCAGTATTCTATCTTGAGAATTCTGCTTAGCTTGTGACAATAAATCAAGATTCACACTAATCCTTAAAGCGATGCGCTTTAATATTCTCTCTACCACCTGGCTTATATTTAATGTAGGACAATTTATTTAAGATTAATAATGTAATGAATAAATTATACTTCTTTAGGTTTTCTCGCTAACATTAGCTAACTCATCCAAGGTCTCTTAGATTATCTAATGACAATTGTAAAGTCTTCCTTTGCATAGTTCTAGCAAACCTATGTTCTAATACCACAAATACCACAACTTACCTCACACCATTACTTGCACTCTCCTAAACCCTTACCACTCACTCTACCCACCACCACCACCAACTCTGAACAGCACCAACCACAGGGAAGCGCGAACGCTTTCCCCAAACGCAAAAATTAAGCTGCTGGCCAATCCCGACTTGGGATTGCCACACGGGTCAACCCGATCCAGAAGTGCAGTGACCGGGCCTCACCATGGAGGTCCCGCCTTCATGATCGCGAGAGGCCTCTCAGCAAGGTTAGTTTAAGAGCTCTTGCTGGCACCCATTCGAAGACGCCATGCATTGAACTTCGAGTGGGTTCCTCTGTGCAACTCGGCAACCCCTCCCCTCCTTTCTATCTCTGTTACAAACGTAATTACTGAGACACCTCCATATTCTGCGTAGTCTTTTCGCGTTGAGCCGCAAATTTATTTTTCGATTCACAAATTTTATGTTAATTTATTGCAACAATTTATGTATGTTAGTGGCACTGTTAAGCTGTGCTGTAGAAAATTCAACTTGACTGCGATACAAAACACAAATATGATCTTATTCGGAAAAATTCCAGAGTATTTCCTGTTGGAACAATTTTGTTTCATTTACGGAGAAGGTAAGGAATAAATTATTTGTTTAAAAAATCTCAAATATCATAAATGGGATAACAAAGATAGATCAGAAGGAAAGTATTCTTGATCTCTTATCACCGTATGTTTTTGACATCTATAGTGGCAGATGTCTTTTAAAAGACACAGTAGCTTGTAATGGACAAATTACGAAAGTTATGAAATTTTAAATCGTAATCGCCCTCAACTAACCCGGCTAAGTCGAACAAGGAATTAAATAGTGTTTATTTTGTAAACTGAATCCTTAGACAACCGGAAACAGTTCGCAGTTCGAGGGTCCTGAAAATTGTGCTTTTACCATCAATGGTGATACTTTTGTCAATATAAGGATTATGAGTGGATTGTTAAATGATTGAATTAAAGATATGATGACATTCATTCTTCAAAAGCGATAACAAGGTGATTACATCAAGACTTCATTCCTCATATGACATTAAAATACTGCCAAGAAACAAAAATTTAATCAGTTCGCGAAATTCGCTGTATTGTTCAGCCTCTCTTATTGAGGAGGCAATTAATCTTCATCAGAAGACATTTATCCTTCATCTTCCCTGTCCACAAACTTTTGCTTCTAAAAATGAAGCGTATGAACAAACACAGCTAATAGTGCCGGGGAAAAGTGTGAAATGTGCATTAACAACTAACAAATGGTCAATATGTTTGCCTTTGACAAACGCGATTTTCAAGAGGAAATTTTCCGCTTTGCTGACATTCGTGTGATTCATTCTTCATTCATCTTCCTCGTAATTTTTTTTGCTGTAATATTTGGATGACAAGTTTAAAATATAGCAAATCTGCATAATTTATTCTTCACAACAATATTAAACAATGGTGAAAAATTAAAAAAAGACAGCATATGAAAACTAACAAATAAATATATGGAATTGAACGATGATTTATGCGAAATTCGGCCTCATATGGTGCAGTTCCTGCTCTTCGAATCAATGCTGTATAGAAAGATGAGGTGAGGGGAAAAACGAAATCGTATTGTGAAACAACTGAAGAGAAAACAGTAACGAGAATTATAATGAATTTTCTTTAACCTGCTCTCTACAACATAACTTTTTTTTAAAATTTCATTCTGGTTCTTAGTTTTACTTCATATTATTCAGTTTTTAGAACATGCTATCGAAAAGTGAAAACTCCGTCGAATATTTCCAAATTTTGATAACTCGCAGACCTGCAAACGTCCAAAAACAAAACTAACCGCACAACTAACCACTGCAAATACGTTTAACTAACCAGCAAAAATCGACATCGAAATTTATTTCCATAGCAAGAGAATAAATAGCAACAAACACCCTCTATCACATTCATGGTAATGTTAATTAGTTGAATTTCAAAGACAAAAAGGAAATTCTTTTCCTATGTTCCACTTTTTCACCAAAAGAGACTAGAATTACGAGGATGGTGAGGAGTCAGGTCATTTTTTACTTCAAGAAAATAAAATGGGACCAACAAATTTTCCTTCTGTTTACATATTTATGGAAGAAAGCAATTCACAAGTATATAATCCAAACACGATTCCAAATTTAAAACAGTAAAAAGTGATACATAACCTTGTGAAACATTGCCGTTAAAAATTCTCTCTAGTGGTAGAGTATGCAAGCTGAAAGTAAAAGGCTTCGAAATTTTCGCAAAAATTAACTAATTAGTAAGGCTTTTATTAAGGGCACAAAAAAGAATTTCAAACAACATTTTGGTAGCTCTTAGCTATAAGAATCTTTTGATCGGATTAAAAAAAGCTGCAACTACTGCGGTATTCACACTACTGAGAAACACTCAAACAATTCAACAATGATTAAATAAATTAAATTCAAGGAAAAAATCGTAACAGATTGTCCTCATATTATTCCTCGAGTGCATTAATAATTCGTGTTCGGGCTTTCTTCGAAATATGTGTTGCCACATTTAAAAGTGTTATGATTTGATTTGTTGTATATTCCTGTAAAAAAAAAAAAAAAAAAAGAAAAAATCAAGAACAATCAAGAAATGAAACCAGCATATCATATTGATTCAACCATGCTCCCAGAACAAAGACTTACCCAAGCAGTGCTACAAAATATTTACTGCCTTTTCAATATTTCCACTCTCTCAATAAACAGCTAATTTCAGCAAATAGTAATGTATGTTCTAAAATGTGGGACGATTTGTTTTTACAGTAACTGACTTCTGAAAAACAAACTTTAATTTTCAAATCAATTACGAAGACTTTAATAAAGCAATAAATATTACTTACTCTGTGCTGCAAAATCCACGATTCCATCGAACTTTCAGGTAAATAATAAGCTTTGATGTAATTTTCAACATATGCTTTGTGTGGGATGGGCATAAAATCGATAAGTTGTTCGAGTTTTGCAATTAACTGTTGGAAATCTAACTGCATTAATGCACGCCCTTCATTCGAGCACTTTTTCCCAAATTCACCATAACTTCAAACAGATCTCTTAATACTGAGAGTGAAGGAATTTTATCCAATATAATTTCACTTTGTATAGATAAGTGATAAAAAGAGAAAGAGAAAAACTGCGAGAACATCAGACCAAAATCTAAACTGTGGAAAGGAATATACCCTTTGACAAGTGCATTAAATGTACAATATATAACTATGCTCCAAAAAGTCTTTTGAACCGGTCTTGTAATTGGTATTTGTTTTGCGATTTCAGAAAGCAAATCGTTAATCCTTGAAAATTCCTGCAATGTGTGTAATGCAAATAAAACATTTAAAGTTAATAACAAAAGATGATAGTGTTATTCTGAAACATATATTTGCAAAAAGTTAAGCATTAGGGAAGCTAGAAGATGCAAAAACCTGGAACCTTTAGCTAAATAATGCTAAATATTTTTGTATTGAAAAAAAAAAAAAGATATATTAATAAAGCGGAATGAACATACTTGCAAAATATTATCAACATAAGTGCTATGTTGCGATTGGAGCTGACAAATGTCCCATTTCGTTGTCATTATATCATTCACAAACCAATCATAATCAATTAAACAGCTTATTGCACAAGCATAGATACATTCTCTCATTTTTGGTATCACAGCCAGGATCTGAAAAAAAAAAATGTTGAGTATAGCACAAGCCATAACTACGCAGTTATATTAAGGATGCAATACAAGTTATACCACCTCTGTATAATATTTCTCGATGACATCACGATTAACCAGCGATTCGATAACTGGACGGATGAGATCAAGCTGTTTAGAAATAAAATTTCTGAAAATGATCACAAATTGGATTTAATAGAGAATTTCAAGTAAATAATAAAAATAACGTCACTTACACAGATTCAGCGCCAACAATGCGTTCACGTAAGGCATAACTAGGTGCTGAATCAAGCTTAACATCTTGTAACAATGTGCAGGGAAAACATTTAAATTTCTGAAAAATTATAGTTATAAATCCAATTAAAAATAAAGAGGTTAATTTATAGATTATGAGCTTCAATATCCAAAGATAAAATTATCCGGAAAATAGAAAAGTCTGGAGGAATTAAAACAATGCATGCCCAAAAATAGACTGGCAATTTCATAAAAAGAAATCCAACTCACATTTGCACCTTCTGAAGGTGAATCATCACTAAATAAATCACTTTCTAAATTGTCCATAACATTTTTTAAGTTTGGAGAGAAAAAAGATTCAGTAACACTATGTGCATTTGACACGAAAAATGAATATACCTGGAAAAAATACTAAACAGATATTAATTATTTGAGTTCGGACAAAATAAAATTTGGAACAGCCAGCCTTGTAACAGATAAAATAACATTTAAAACATCTTTACCGCAAAGAAAAAATAGCTGCAGAGTTCAAAAATACCATTTACAGCTTGATCAGCAACTGAGTGAAGCACATAAGCCATCCGAATGTATTTCCCTAAATTGTCAGTGACAAACTTGAACAAAGGAAGGTTTCTGATGATAAAAAGCAGAAAAAAATTAAGTTGAATGAAATGAAAACAGACCAATAAAGCGTAAGAGATTCAGTGATGCATTACAAAGAATTGGAGCCAGCTGTGAGAAACTACCATCCAGACGATATCTACCAATGAAATAAAATATCAGAATTTTAAAGTGAAAATGTTCTCTTAATAATAAAAGTGACTGGAAATCCTCCATTAAATGAAAAATTATTAAGAAGCAAAAGTACTAAAAATTAGATTTTTTAGAACAGCTTATTTAATTGGCATAAAATTTAGAAAGCAGTATCAGCAATTTATACTATTACAGTTCTATATACTCTATGTTTATTTGCAATGATTTAAAATTATTTCGAAAACATATCTTTTAACTTTACAAAAAATGACAGCAAAAGAGAAGTTGAAACGAATGAAGATCTCCAAAACTAGAAAACTTCATCCTGTTAAGTTTTATAAGAACTGTAAAAATGAAAAACTTACCTGTCATTATCCACATCATCGTTCGACGAATTTTTCGCACTTGAAATAATGGTGATATCAACATCCTGAAGGAAAAGTTTAAAACATAAAAAACATGCAATTTCTAGTTTCTATCCATTAACAGAAATACAATACAAGAATCACACAAATACTAACCTTAGCAGAAGAATCCATATCTGTAGTTCCCATCAGAAAAGGATTTACATCGGTCGGCTGAAGAATCTGAAAGTCTAATGGCTCACCCAGATCCAGATCAATTTTAGAATGTAAAGAAGAATCAACTCCTCCTCGACATCCACTCAATTCCTTCAGGAAACTGAATTCCTTAAAACCAGAAATATTTAAACTTTGAAATTCTGTACTCCTATTTATTACTTCGACAGTTGCTGCTAAGAAAATCAGACCACAAAAAAATAATTTAAAGGTGCTCATGATCTAATAGTATTTAAAATATTGGCATGTGCGCATTTCCGTTTATTTTGGTTAGTGCGTAAATATTCGCTAATCTCGAAAATATGTTTAAAAAAATAGTCTTTGAAATAAACAGTAAACAGCAATGTAACATTAAATATTTTACCTGAAAATCGAACAAAGTGAATTGTAATGGCACCGGACATAAAGCAAAAGCTTCATTTTCCAAAAACATACGTAACTCATCCATTCGATCATAATGGAATCTAAATTAAAAACGTATAAAACTGCCCAATGAACTACAATTCTATGACAAACCTCTTGAAGTACTGATCACTCTGCTTTTCCAATGACATCGTAACTTCACCACAAACATTACCAAAGTAAGTGCGACCAAACTGTTTGAATCTTGCAATTTATAAATTAAGCGTAAGCATTACAGGTGAATAAATGTCCAGGATAACGTTAAACTGTTTAAATCAAAACCTACATAAAACGGCATCAAGTACAAATTTTTTGAAGAAATAAAAATGCACATATTTAAAAAAGGAAAATGTGGGGAAATAATAACTGAAACCAACCGGTTTGACATTTCAATAATATCCAGAAATTGATCGATTTTTAGAAGCGAGAGATCATGACAATATAATAAAGTGCTGAATTTTACTGATGCAGTCTTGAAAATAGAATATAAGGAATCCACGAGAATTTTACGAACAATGCCCAGATTTTCTAGAATGTACCTAACTAGAATGTAGAATGTATTTTCTAGAATGTACCTAACCTAACAATGAACAATAAAGAAGTTGTCATTTTATAACTGCAGCTACGTTGATAAAACTGATTTCATTTCAGACAACCAGTAATTAACCAGTTCAATAGCTTGAAAAATATTACTAAAAAAAGATTAGAACCTAATAAAATTCATAAAATGATATCAACTGAACAACTGACCTGTTTTTTCGTGTGCACATTCCAACCTTTCATCTTCATCGATGTGGAAAAGCAAAATAGAATGATATGTAAACAACACTTTACAAATAACAAACCCCAATTCGCGCACACAGTCCAATATTTGACCCATATCCACAGCCTGTATAAACTCAACAAAATTTTAAACAGAAACTATATATGTTCCAATCCTTCATCTTCATTTATGTGGAAGAGCATCAAATAAAACAAAACAAACCTCACAAAGCTGCTCATATGATAATTCTTGAATTTTCGTTTCAGTCCTAATGGGCAGTATCTTATCACTGATAACCGTCCTCGCTGAGCTTTCTAAAGTTGCACGAGTAAAGCCAACCACTTTCATCGCACATTCCTTGAAAAAATATTGATATAAAAATTAGTTAAACAATGTGAATCTGTGGCAATTCTAGTGTAAACCATTTTAAATGATTTAATTATATTATTTTTCAAATGAAAAAAATCTATTACCTCAACTTTACCTAACAATTTATAGGCAGTATAAATCGATGAATAACGATCAACGCTAAATAAAATCGTTATCGAGGCCAAACAGTTATCCAAATTTATTTCGATTTCTTCCAAAGCTTCATGCAACTTCGTTGATAACTCTCTATAAATAGTCCCAACTAAAAAAACTAAACATAAGAATAAGAATTTAGGAGATACAAAAAACTATTAAATACATTTTTATGTCAAATTTTTAATAAAAACTTAAGTTTACTAATATATTGCATAAAAATTAATAAATTGTTTTCAAAAGTAAAAAAGCACCATTCTTTAAAATTTCCCATTTGCCCAATTTCGAAACAACTTTGCAGCCTTAACTTTTTTTTCGAAGGTGAATTAACATCTAGAACTAAAATCTGGATTTGTACCCCATTTAATGTTAATAGCCTTAAGTGACATAATAAAAAAATATTTAATTTTTGTGAATCACATTTAATCCCAAAAGGAATACGGGATAATTAATATAAAACACATCATAAAAAAGTTGTTATCTTCTACTCTTGAATTAAATAAAAATTATTACTTGACGCAGCTGAATTGATTAAAAGTTACTGTAGCTTTCTGTGCTTCATAACACATATTAATGGCTGCAGGGAAATTTTCCTCCTGAAAACAATTGGAAGAAAACATGCCATAGTGTAGTGTTAATATAAGTTAATAAGCATCTCTTCCCCAAAAAGTACTACAAATAACAACAAATAATAAAGTAGGCTAACAACATCCAACCTGGACAAGATCCTTAATTTGGAACTGTACTTCGTATAATGTTTTAATGTCCTCGAGGGACGATAATAACTTCTTTAAAAATATTCGATTTCTGTAATTTGCAATTATTTCCAGACCATTTTGATTTTCAAGTTTCGCTTGAGCAAGTTTCCTGTGATGGAAATAAAAATGAAAAATTGTATTGAAAGGGCGCATATCATTTATGAAGGTAAACCTGTAACTGCAATGGGTCAGAATTCTTGGATTTTTACTTTTTATTAATGAACTACAGTCATACGCAGCTAATAAATACGATGTATATAACTCTGTGTTGCAGAATTGCGGTCAAAATATCACTGGTTAGATTACCACTACATTACTCTTCTAGTACTATATTTATTGTTTCAAGAAGTAGAAAAGGCTAGCATGAAACATTACACAGATTGTGCACAACAAAACAATTTACAAGTGAACAGATCACAGATGTATTCATAATATAAAACTAACTTTCGCATATTCTGCATTACCAAAAGGATACTATCTAGATCTTTTTGAATTTCAGCAATATCTTCCAGCTGGGATGAATAAGAAGGCCAATCCTGCATAATCACTTCCGATACCCGTTTAGAAACAACTTGTAATTGTTGCTTTAATTTGTCCATTTCTCCAGTTAAATCTTCAGGCAAAATATCGGCACCCATAACTTTCTAAATTATGTAATGATTCAGTAGAAGAAAATCTGAAAAAAAAAATTTCTGCAGAACTTTCACTTAACTAAACTTAAAATTCACTTTCAGTTCATAGTCGGTTGCATCGAATCCTTCGTCGATGAAATATGCTGCATCAATACTTTCCAATATTTCCGTTTCCTTAACCGGATCTGTGATTGGCAAAGCAGTTTGTAACTGCAAATTATTCCCAAATGAAGCGAATTTATCTAAAGCATTTAAACGTGAAACAAACAAACAAAAAAAAAGAAAAAAAACATACAATAGTAGATTTAGCCGACCCACGACCAGAAGAGTCTCGTACCACGATTATATTATCCATCGAATCCATCTGAATGCATTATATTCAATTGATTAAGGCTATCATAAAGATTTATCCATCTTGAGTGTAATTGATTAAGTTTTTTTTATATAATGATATAAAAGTGAAGAGTCCCTTATGCCAACTGTTGAATCCTTTTATTCAGTTCAGTATTAACTTGCTAAAAACTACTTACAAGTGATCTGTATAGGAAGGGGAATGAAGAAATTTTACTTTGTTATTTTTTTTTTTTGAAAATACAAATTTGCGAAATTTGAATTCACTGAAATATTGTTGGCGGCAGCGGGAACAATGCTTGATAATACGATTGGATATTAAGTAATAGAAGGGCTGTTTCTAAAACTAAACAATTGTATCGAAGTGAGAAGCATAAATCAATTACTGTAGTTTCATCTTCGTCATTTTGGCAAAGTTGTACTGAGTTAGACTTTTTCATCATCAGTTACTCCAGTGATTATTTCGGTTGACTAATATTAACTAATCATGGCAATAACTGTTCAAAGGCCAGCGTTTTGATGTCAAAACAATCTGAAAACACTCCAATTCATATTACGAAAAAGAATGAATCTTGTTTGATAAATTTCTTTGATGAATCATCCACTTGTTTTAACGTTTTTCAGTCAAAAATGTATTCGGAGAACTCATAAAGCACAGGAACAATTTTTCCATTCTTCTTTATTATGAAATACCAAATCATACAGTGAAACTGTTAGCAAAAATTTTAAACTAACTACATTCCATATTGAAGAAAACATTCCAAATTCATATCTACAGATTAAAATAAAAACTTCATATTTCGACAGTTTTAGGTTTCATGTTTTCGGAATTCCAAAAAATCATACGAAGCGCAGTACAGTACAATAACGAGAAAGACCAAAAAACAATGAAAAAAAAATACTTCCATACCAAATTAAGACATATATTTCATTTTGAATTACTAAATAATGAACATGTTTTTAATGATAATGTGAAACTACCAAAATTGTATTAACGTCACTAACAACGCTGACTAAGTTTGCGATAAATTGCAAGCTTATTAAAATAATACTTGATATTTTATATGAGCTTACATCGGCCATTATAGAATGATGGTCGATAAGATCACAGGATCTCTTGATTTGACTACGACCTGCTTATTTCGATGCATAGTGAGTGACCTGAGTAGTATATATATTTATATCGTCATCAGTAATGATAACAATGATAATGATAATCACGATGCTAATAAGAATAAAACAAGTTGTGAATAAAAGAACACTATGATTAGTTTCATTTTCTTTACCAATTAATCACTCTTCCAAACTACACATCTTGTAGTAAAATTTTTCGCAACTTTCAGTAATTCTACGTTCTATCAGAATATCGTCCAGTCCTAAATATATATTTCCCTGCAAGCTATCACCTTAACAGATCATATTAATCACTCCCCCTTATCCTTATCAGCATCCATACCAGTGATAATCTTGATATGTTGCATCTCCTTAGTATGCAACACGATGTGAAATAAGCATTTCGCTATGAATGAGGAATCCCTTTAAAGGAATAATCGTTTGTCAGGTCGATGAGTTATTCAGTGTTGGCTATAAAAAGTTATCAGCTTATGTATATATATTATTTGGAACATGCATAAATATATCCTAAAATAGCATATTTAAATTTTTGTTGTTTAATCATTCAGTAATTTCAGGATTACTTCATAATCATCAGTGTTATGGAAAATTATATGAAAGCTGACGAAATAAACGTGCCATGTTTACCGCCTTTTCCGACCGAATTAACAGCTGATACGAAAGAAATGATAGTGAAAGAAAATACTAAATTCAAAAATATTCTCAGTTTCGTGGACAAACTTTTTGAGGTATGATTTAATCTAGGTTTTAGAAATAATTATTATTGGTGTTGCATTTTCTGATTATCATTTGTTATATGCTATAAGACAGTATCTAATGTTTTAGTTAGTTTTGTTTTACTAATTTGATTCTTCAACTTGTACCATTTTATTTCGCATAAACAAAATATTTTTAGCACTTTTATAAAAAAAGGAAGTTTTAAAGATCTGCATCATTGTTTTTTTCCCCTAATTTCATATTGTATTTCACAAATTATTTTAGGATACAAATTGTCGGATGGTAATTTTCAAAGGTGTTGGTGAAGCTACAGCAAAATGTATTTCATGTGTGGAAGTATTCAAAAGGAATTATAAGGTCAGTTCAAACATACGTGGTTCTAGCACTTTCTCAAATTTTATTCTCAAAAATGCAATCCTTGATTTTTTTTTTTTATTCATTTCTTGCTTAAATTTATTCTGTCATTATTCCACTACCAAAAATCGTCTCTAACTTTAATTTTTAATTTATTTATTTATAGCACCAGAATGTATCAAATTTTCAATGTCTCCCTTTTTTTAAGCATTATGACTTATTCATATAAGTAGATGATAATTTCAGAATGGAGTGCTGTATCAATGGAATGAAATAGTGTTCACTCGACGAACTGATTCCTGGTTACCGACGGTTGAAAATTTAAGCAAGTATGCTTCGCAGAGTATTATTATTTTCTATTCGAATTAATGTCCTTTTCGGCTTCTCAACCATCAAACAATAACTTGGGAAAATTAAGCGATAAAAGAAGCCCTTTATCTTCATTTTTGCTAATATCAAAAAACATTAGCTATTAAAGACTTTGCTATTCAGAATATTGGTCCATGTAGACGTCCCTACGATTTATATTTTAATTTCCAAGGATCCTTTTCCGGATAACTACATCAATAAGAGGTTTTATTTTGGCATTTCCTAAACTATTATTAAACATTTTAAATAACCATTTACATGTTTTTGTAGGCTTCTTATGTTTCTGTTGCGCGGAAGAAAATTTATTTCTGGCTAAGAGTGATATAAATCAGTTTACTTTATCACCATCGATTTTTAAAAAATACTTAGCAGTTTTTTAATAGATTCAAGTCTTTACAATTTCTTTCATAATTCTATTGTTTCAGCTGTCAGAATTCATCTGTTGAAACAACGGGATTTACATCCGATAATGAGACGATTCCAAACAGTTTAGAGTCACGACAAGAAAAACCAAAACTTTTACTGGAATCAGGGTTAAACAGATGGAATAGACCACCGAAAAAAAACTATAAGTCGCAAAAACACCAGTCGAAAGATAAATCATGACTAAACTCAAAATCTTTTCTTATATTAGTGATTTTATGCTGTATTTGTAAAACTCTTGTTACTTCCTACTTCAAAGCTTTCCTCGCAGTGTTCTTACCTCACATCTCAGCAATTTCCCGTGAAAAATATTACCAAGTTCTTTGGAATTTAAATTTTTCTATCCAAAGAGTGATGTATAATTTAATGAACTTCCATGTGCCTCAACTTATTATTTCATAAATGTTTCACATGTTTAACAATTTTTTTTTTTGACATTTTATGACTGAATTCAATTCCTTAGAATTCTTGAACCTTGAAAAAGTAGTTATAACACTCCAATTAGAAAATTTTTCGCATACTGATATATGTCATAATATACATAGCAGTACTATGAAGTGAAATCTGTATAATATGCCACTTTGAATTCCTATGCGAACGAATTTTAAGTTTTAAAAAATTTATTGATTAATCAATATTTATCAATCAGGTATATTTGCTGATGACTAATATTAGAAAGATGTATCAAAAAAAAAAAAAAAATCTGATGCATCAAAAAGCTTCCATGTTTAGTCCCTTCCTTCAGGATAACCGGATCTTATATGACCGGATCTTATATGCAATCATGTGAGCAGAACAAGACGCATTGATTGATCATTTAGCGAAATGTAAATAATAAATTAGGGCAAAATAACTTCGACTAATAGATGTTCTATTTTCATGTTTCATTACTAATATTGCCTTATCATCTCTAGCGCTAATATCTTTTTATCATAACAATCCAAAGCTGTTAATAATAATTAATAGCCTGTTATATTCTATTCTGATAATTTAATATGTTCTGGCATTGTGTAATAATGAATCATTTGCAAATATCAAAAGTATTACAATACTTTTGGCATTTTCAATATCACTTATTTTCATTCTTTTTTAGTTTTTTCTTTTCTATTAAATATATTAGATCTGTTGAGAATTATTAACAAAAATCTTTTTTTTACATTAATTAAAATATAATATAATATACAAAATATACTATACAGTACAATATAAAGAATCAATGTCAATATTTAAATTATTTCAATTCTTATTTGATCGATTAATTAATTAATTAATTCATCGCTTATTTCAAATGATATTAACTCTTATCATTAGAGGAAGAAGAAGAAGAAGAAAAAGTAATCTTATTGTTGAAATGAATTAATTCTAATTTCATTTCTCTAAATCACTAACCCAATTATTACACTGTCAATGCTTCTTTCCTGTATTGTGTATGTTTAATAAATGACATTATTGACCCCTCTACTCATCATTGCTCCCTTTTTTTGTTCTCTCTCTCTCTCTCTCTCTCTCCTTCCCTCCCTCTCATACATTTATTTAATTTAACCACTTTCCTCAACCTTACAATCTTCTATTTTATCCCATTTTGCTAAGTTTTTGGCATTTGCTGTCAAATCACAGTGTCTGTTCACATTATTCTTGCATAAATTAATAATAGTAAATTATATATAAATTATAATATTCCTTCTGTTTATTTATTGTATTTTTCATGCTATGTATGAAGGAAATTTATTTTCAATATTCAAAATAAATAAATGTAACATTTTTTGAAATGAATAAATATAAAAACTTTATGCTCAAAGTAAATATTAATTTTTTTTTTTTTTTGCATAAATGAATGTATTATGGAGTTTTTTCTCTTTCTTCTAATTAAATTATTGTAGAAATTTTGATATTATTTATGGATAGATATATTGGATATATGCAATTATTCTAAAATATGGTAAAAAAGATTGGGCAGAAAAAAAAAAAGAGAAGAAGGAAAAGAATTTGAATATTTTTGATTTGAATGATTTATGATTAAAATTTACATCTGTTTAAATCAACAATATTTCACACATTTCATGAAGTATAATGAGCAGTGATCTGTAATTATTTTTAAATTTTTTTAAATTATTTCTATCAATTCAACTTATTCTTTTCTATAACTAATATGTGAAGAGTAATGCAACTAAGATAATCTCAACTTTCATTACATTTTACTCCATTTTATAGTTAATAATTATTGAAAATTCAACGCAATAACAATTTTTTTTTTTCTCTGAAATTAAATTTAAATTATTAATTTTCTCAATGAAATCAATTTTTTTTTTTTTTAACTTGATAAAGTCAATAGTTAAAATTATATTATGCATACGATTTGCTTGGCTAAAGCATAAAATCAGTTGACTTTTGACCTTTGAATAGATACACTTTAGGGGCATTGTTACTTTTTAATGTTTTTATGATATTAAATTATCTCATTTTTTTCAAAACAAATTACTCGATTTATTTTTTTTGCAAATTATTTGATTTAATTATCACTCATTCTTAACATCTGAGAATTTTCATCAAAATGGGATTATCAAGTGTACATTATACATTCTGAGATAATGATGTGATTAATTGTAGGCGGTAAAAGTATGCTAATTAGACGTGATCTTCACGTTATCAATTAACTGATAAGAAGTTATTCCTTCATTCTTGAGGGGACTAAAGATTAGTTTGGCTTTTACTTTTCAATTATTATTTATCAAATTTATGTGATTAAACTTGTATGCTCAATTACTCTATTTTACTCTCAATAAATAGCTTATTTTCAAATTTACTTGAAATATTTTATTTTAGATTAATTTTGATACTATTATTCCTTATTCTTTTTTTTTTTTAAACAAAATCTTTTTTAGTTTCATTTTTTTTTTTAAATAAAACTTTTTCCATTGATATTTAATTTAATGGACAAATTGCTGAACAAAAATACAATCATTCGAAATCATAAAAGCTAATTGTAATTTTCCCAGCATTTATTTGTTCAAACTTTTTATCCTTTCTCTTCTTCCTCCATGATAATAACATTACAAGAAATAATATAAGCTATCAAGAATTCTTCTCTTTTTTATTTATTTTAATCTGTTTTTCCTCTCTTATTGTTTACCTAAATATTATTTGTTGATTTATCAGTGAACTATAAATATGATAATCGATAATATTATTAACAGTGATAATATCGATTCACCTTCAATTATATAAAAATTTCAAAAATAGTAATAGTTAATTTCCAATGATAGTTAATTTATCAAAAAATAAAAAAGAAAAAAAAAAAAAAAAAACAAACTTTATCTTTGAACTTGATGATTTATTGTGACCATCAATTATCTGCTGAAAAATGGAGCAATTGCATTATTGAAATTTTATACAGGAAATAAAATTTCATCAAAAATTCAAAATTACTGAATAAAATAGATTATAGAGTAAATTAGATTGAAAATAGAAACTGGAAATTTTAAATCTATTAAATCTAATGTTAATTTGTTGGTTTTTTTTTGCATTTCTTATTACGATCATTTTACTGTTGAAAAGCTAACAGATTTATTTGACATAAATTTGCTGCTCTTTTTTTTTTCAAATTTTTCCACTTTAAAAACTAGTTTCTTTAAATCGATGATACACTTATTCATTCTCATCCATCAAAAATATATAATACAATCGTTGTAAATCTTTAAAATTTAAACTTTAAAATTTGAACTTTATTATGGCTTCATTTGCCTTTAAATAATAAACCTATCAAGAAGCTATTTAATAAATGCTTTATTTATTTATTTATTTTTTTTCTATAACTATGCATTTGAAATGGTTTTTAAATTTTAATTTCAGAATATATTTACTTATTCAACTGCTACGTCACATTTTAATGTGAGAAATATAAATGTTTTAATGGTAAGAAATAGATGTAATGGCTGAAAATAAACTGCTACTAAAAAGATCATCCATTAATGTACCATATGGTTTTATCATACGACATCTTTCATCTTATCCGCTTATGGTATCATTTTTTAATCATTGAAATCATTATTACAAATTAATCAGTGAATTTGAGGATAAATTGTAAATTAACAAACACCGAACTTTTAACCTTCACATTTGGTATTAAAAAATTAAGCAGATAAATTAATTAATCATATTTATCAAACACTATCAAATTAATACGATAATTCTATCATAATGCTGCTTAAATTATGCAAAATAAATGATGATTCAAATGAACAGGTTTACTCTATTAATTGTTTGAAATTTCTCTACTTATAACTTAATCTTAATATGATGCTATCATTATTACAAATTAAAATGTTTTATTAAAATGAAATAATTCAATGTTTTTGATTATTAAATTCGATGATACATAGTGTTTACTTCTTAATACGCATCTTTTCTATGCCATATGAAAAGTATTCACAATTTTAATTTGTTAAAGATTAAATTTTTAACTCTATCATTTGAATTTTTTGCTATAAATTTTTTCAATTTAATTCAACAATTTACAAAAAAAGCTAGCAAATTATATATTTGAAATGAAAGAATTTAATAAAATATTTCAGGATAGTTCAAATGAAGGAATGAAATCTAAACAGAAGCCATTCTATACCTTAGTAATTCTAAATGTTAAACCATCAAGTGCAGCAGATAAAGCAGGTCTTCAAGTTGGTCATCAAATTATCAAAATGAATGGACAAAATGTCAACCATTTAACATACAGCGATATTTGTAAAATTACAGAAAGGTTATTCGAAAGTGTACATTTATTGAAATATTCTTTTAAAAAATAGATTACATCTCAAATAGGGTCAAGGTTCATCTCAATAATGGAATGTTTATTTAAATTAAATATAATCAACAAATGAATGAAGAGAAAATTTAGAATCATGATTTGATCTGGGAAAATTTTTTTTTTAATTTCTAGAAGTTAACCAATACATTCCCACCAATATTGCGTTTTCTTTTTTTTTTTTTTTTTTTTTTTTTTTTTTCATTAAGAAATTATTATAATTATTAAATCAAGAAAAATGATATCATCTAGTTGCTAATTGTTAATTTGCAACAATCGAAAAAATTTTGATAAACAAAAACTTTGTTAAAATAACTTTCCATGACAAAATATTGAAATTTATGAAAAATTTGCAGTACACATTAGTTTTTTATTGGTAAATAATTTTTAATTAAAATAAAATTAGCTGAATCATTCATCAATAAGAAAAGCAAAAAATATTTATTTGCTTTTCCGTATGCTTTCTTCAATTAATCGAATCATTTATCAACACTCTTTGATAAATCGATAAACTGCAAATATTTTACAAAAAGTTAATTATATATTCCTACGATTATATTAGCTATATAATTGTTAATAAATTAATCATAATTATATTAACAATGAATTATAATTTTCAAAATTAATCATAATTTATTTGAGGTTACTCTATTCTATGATCGATCTTCTCGAGCGGAAGGAAAAAAATTTGTTTTACAATTTAATAAATAATAGTAATATCATTTGCATATAGGTAATACAGTAACATTTTCCATCTATAAACAATCGATTTAAAATTTAAATAAATTCGCAAATTCCCAAAATTTGTTTGGTTGATAAATGGATTATTAATAATTATAAAAAGAAGCAGATAAATTTGACAAATAATCAATGATTGGGTAAATTTGATAAATGATCAATGATTGATTAAATTTGGATCAATAACTTAAATAGCTCATTTTTATAAACAACTGAAATTTGAAATCCTTAAATAAATATAAACAGTAAAATAAATAAACATAGAAAGAGGGATAAACAGAGAGATGGACAGAAACACATTGTGTTACATCGTTTATCTGTCGCAAAAATGTTGTCACTTGGTTTATCATAGAGATATTATCGAGAATGATTTCTTTGTGTATCCATCATTCATCTGCCCCTCAATTAAATATTCAATAATCTCATATACCTCTCATTCTTTCAGTTTTTCTTTAATTTTTCTCTCTCCCTCTCTCTCTCTCTTCAGTGATTATTTAGCTATGTTTTATGCAGGTAACTTTAACTTTCATCTGTTTTTTTTCTTCAATCTAATCTCTTCCTTTCTCTCTCTCTCTCTTTCTTTCTCTCCCTCTCCCTTCTTTCTTATTACACAGTACCAGGTCACATCTCTTCTAATACTTATATATATGTCACCAAATGTTCTTTGACAATTGTCATAGCAATTGCTTCATTTCTGTTCAGTGTCACATTAAGGTAGTCATATTTTTTCTTCTGCTTTCCTCATAACCATTGCATATATTATCATCAACAGATAACAGAAAAAATAAAATTTAATTCTCTTTCTCTTTCTCTCCCCCTCTCTCTCTCTCTCCCTTTCTCTCTATTTCTTTCTTTTATCAATTCATAAAATTCTATTTGTGTATTTATTTTATTATTCAGAAATTTCAATCCATTTTCCCCAATAATTTTATCCTATAAATGTTTCCGTTTAAAATTTTATAAATTTAATGATAATTACTGATTGTGTTATCATTGTTTTGTTTGGTTATTTTCTTTCTTTGCAATCAATAATACAGACCATTTGAAATGATAAATTCATTGATAACACTCACCTGCAGAGCTTTAAGTTATGTTTACTGTTCAGTTTGATAAAATTTTAACGGTTATTTACTGATAACGAAGTATGTTAATGAACGATGGATTATTTGTTTATTTGAATGAATTATTATTACTTATCGATGATTAACTTTTAAATGACTTTACTCTTTGCATTCACTGTCAGCTTGTGACATTTATCTTTTTCCTTGACCTCTGGCTAAATTAATCTTTGACCTTTGGCTAAATTAATGACCTTTCTTGTGGTTAGACTGAAATACTGAAACTCATTTATTTATTACGATGAATTTACTTAGATGTCTGAAATATTAAAATGTTCTATTCAAACTTTTTCTTACAATTCTGTCAAATTAGTAATACTTATTAAAGTGAAGCTATCAATTATCAATTATATTAAAGGGTAAAATTTAATAGTTATGGAATTTGATAAGCTATAAGAGTTTATCAATTTTTTGAGTGAGCTTAAAACATTGATAAATGTTAATGTTATCAATGAAATAATTTATTATTTTATGAATTTCTTCTATGCAAAATTAGTTGGATCAAAAAAAAAAAAAGAAAAAAATAGGTTTTTCTTTTTCATTTTTGGTTAAATAATTATAAAATTCATCGCATGAATCCTCACAAAATAAATTTTCAAATGAAAATTGGCTTTTCAAATCAGTCATATTTGAAGTATTTAAAGGAATTCATTAATTCAAAATTCTTCTATCACATTTCTACATGTCCACTCATTAAGTCCATCTTTGACCATAACTATCTATCATGAAAATATTTATGAATTAATTAGAATGAAATTGCTAAAACCGAAAAGACAATGAAATAATTCTAAGCATCGCGAACTGTAGCCATCAACTGATGATAATTAGCTCATTATCAATTGTTCATAGCACTGATAATGATTTGTCGATTTTATCATAATATATCTGATAACTTTATAAATTTTGCATTGTTCAATTTTCATCTCTATTTACATTAATTTTATTTAAATTTACTTAATAAGCAAATTTGTTCCTCGGTGATGAATGCATATTAATGAATTTGATAAAGTTCTAATTTGCTATCAATTATCAGTTATGTTAAAAGACAAAGAAATTTGAGAGTTTATGAGAAGATTTCTGCTCGTTTTCTTTTCATTTCTTTTCTAGAATATAAAAAATTTTTACAGTGTTATTTATTTGAAATGATAATAGTTTTTTTTTTTTTTTTAACTTTCAAAAGATTTGAAAGTTAAAGTTAAAGTTTCGAAGAAGCTAATTCAACAAAAAATTTGAAATATATGAGAAATCCTAAATAAGCAATGAATTAGCTAAATATATGCGTATAGTGATGAATGGGACAATCCAATTCATCGCATATAAATTTGAAATTGAAATATTAAATTGAAATAATAAATGAATTAATTAAAGGAATGTTTACATAGACCTCTAGATGTGTATGACATACGACATTATTAATTAATATTTCGGACAATTATTAATTTGTTCGGTTTAAATGAAAATGAATTGATAATGTCATCGTGCATTGATAAATTAATTTAATTTAAGGGAATGAAATAAAGCAATGATTATTTATAATCATTAATTTTCTCGCTAAATTCTTGCATCATTGATTGAATGTGATAAGATGATAAGATATAATTGAATTGTTTAAGCGAATTACATGGAATATATTCACTATGCTATTTATATTATTTCATTCAATAAATAACTGATAAAATTTATTTTCATCAGTTTCTAATATTTAATGACATTTATTTATCAAAAATAAAACAAACATTCTATTAAATAGAAGCTTAAATTATTGATTTCAACTATTTTTACACCTTATCTTATCATCATCTTATCACATCATCAACTTTCTTTTTCTTTTCTTTTTTTCTGATGAATAATTCCAAATGATTGGTATTTTGCTAAAATTATTTATTTCAATAAATAAATTACTAATTTTTGCTTAAACCTATAATTTTCTTAAGGATTCAAGGTGTATTTTTAAGTTAAATTTATTTTTCTAATATTTATATTAAGTTAAATTTACTTTCCCAATACTTATATTAAGTTAAATTTACTTTTCCAATACTTATATTAATCTTTCTAATATATTTATAAATTTAATTTTATTTATTAAGCAAATAAGACATTTAATAGGTCTTTACTGGATACATTTAATCTTATTACTTCAGCAAATTTTACTTATATGCTAAGTAATTGTTATCATTTTTTTTTTTGTGATAATTATAATCTTTGCATATGGTACGAAAGATATAAAATTAAAAAAAAAAGAGCAAAAAGAAAAGGAAAAGGAAAACTGAATATTATGCTAATTGTTTTTGGGTAGAAAAGAAAGCAAAATTGCCTTTTGTTCTTCGTTTTCCCATCAACTGATGTGAGAGAGAGAGAAAATACTGAATGAAAGAATTTCCGGAAATGAAAGATTACGGATGAGGCGGTGAACTGGTGAATAAGTATTATCTGAATTAATTGCTTCAACATTTGAACAATAAAAAAATTTCTTGATAAGATTGCTATTTTTCTGTTTACAGAAATATTTACCAGTAGAGAGAGCTTAATTAATGCTTATATCTCTTATCATTTTTTTTTTTTACCTTTATAGCTAATTTAAATTTTCTTATTCTAATCTTATTTTCTTTAAAAAAAAAACAAAACAAAAATATCTTTGCAATGGTATCTGTAAATATGCAAACAAAAATTAGCAAAAAAATAATAATTGCTTAGGTATAATTGTACGATTGTTTGTTTATACTACAAATATACTTATAAATTCATAATAAATCTGATCTAATTTGATTGATAATATTATTCAATCATTTATCACTTATCATTATAGTGGATTGGAGCTAGAAGTAATGGTTTCAACGAGAATGCATTCAAAGTTAACAAAAATTAAATCACTCTCCGATGAGCCATTAATGTCAACCGCATCTGTTACCACTGCTATCGATGATACTACAATCAATTTTCAACGCTTTCCATCATCGATAATTGTGGAAGGTCATTCGGAGATAACCCTGAAAAGTCATCAATATGCAGCACAAACAACAACAACAACAACAACAACATCAACAACATCAACATCAACATCAACAACAACAACAAGGACAATAATAAATCCGGTAGATAAATTGATTTATAAAAATTGATGGAATCATTAATACTCTTAATAATTAATTTTATTTGTTTCATTTCTTTTTCTCAATCCAAATTGTTCATACTTTTCTGGATAATCGCAAAATATAATTTTCTTCCATTTTCATATCATTTAATTCATTGATATCAAATTTTAAAAGTAATTTTTTAGTAAGAAAACTAATAATAATATATCATAATGATTAATTATCATTATTCCTGTTTTTTTTTTTTTTTTTTTAAATATCTATCTAAAAATTTTCATTTTAATTTGACAGTATCATTCTTCATTATCTAATTTGAATTGCTTATCATTCAAATTGAATTTATTTTTACTATTTATGACAATGAAATTAAATGCTACCAAATTTTGAAAGTTTTATAAATTTATTATAGCTAAAGAGTAGTAAATTTATTATTTGTCCTATAACAATAACAATAAGAATAAAATATTGAATAATAGTAATAATTAATAACTAATAATAATACGTATAATAATAAATTGATAATCGAACAAAATAAGTTGTTGATAAGCTCAAATTTATTGATTTACTTTTTATCACATTTACTCTTTCCTCTTCAATCCTACTAATATCAAAAATTATTTTCATTACTATCGAAACTGATTTATAAGTAATATGTAATTAAAATTAAAATTGAAAAGGAAGGGATTATCTTAGATTTTTTTTTGCCCATAATTAGATTAAGCTATGAAATGACTGTGGAATGATAAATTTAATAACTTCATTTAACTTATTACTATTAACTAACATTTAACTTACTGCTATTAACTAACATTTAACTTATTACTATAAATACTTCAATATTAAAATGTTAAATTCAATTACCGATAATAGCGATCCAATATTAAGCAAATGACTATTTCAATCGCTTTTTTTTTTAAAAAATTCCTTTTTATACGTATTCGATGAAATGAAAAAGTTAATTCCAAATTCGAATGATCAACAAAAATTGTTGTTTATTTTTACTTTTCCTCATTTATCGTTTATTCTCTGTAAAATTTATTTGATCGCACACCTGCACAACACATTGCTAATACTTTGAATAGAAACTAGTTTGATGCACTGTCATCCGAATTCAATTAGTAGTTTGTAAATTTATTCGGTATATTTACTGAAATATCGCATGCAGAAATGTTCCCTTTTTTTTCCCTCTCTCTCTCTCTCTCTCTCTCTCTCTCTCTTTATTTCATTACAATTTCGTTGAACTAATTTTTATCCTTTTAAATTTTATTTTTTTTTTCTGCAATCTTAAGAATTAAATTCTGATATGTTAAATAAACGATTTCCATTTGAATTTCAATCAAATCACACACCATCTGTGCAAAATCATTTCAAATAATTTTTCTCATTTTTATTCTAATTTATCAGCTAATATTTGAATATTTGTTTATGCTTTTCCACTATTAGAAACTTTGATAAATTGGCAATTGTTACAAAAATTGTCATCAATTGTCACCAGGAAGTTTCATGGATCATCAATATGATACCGAAATGGAAAAACTGGATTTTTGATTTTTATTTGCTTCTAAAAATTTCAATCAAATTCAATCTATTATAAATTCCAGATTGAGCCACTACGATATGTCCTTTTAAATTTATATAAATTAACGATGTTTGTGCATTGATACAATGAACAATAAAAATTTGATAGGAAATCTTTTTCCTACTTTATTTCCTTATCAATTTGTAAATGATCTTTAATGGGTTTTGCAGTTTCTATTTTTAGCGCAAATATTATACCCTTCACTTTCCACGTCATTCGTGATTGTCATCCCTCATTCTCACTCACTTTCCACGTCATTCGTGATTGTCATCCCTCATTCTCACTCACTTTCCACGTCATTCGTGATTGTCATCCCTCATTCTCACTCACTTTCCACGTCATTCGTGATTGTCATCCCTCATTCTCACTCACTTTCCACGTCATTCGTGATTGTCATCCCTCATTCTCACTCACTTTCCACGTCATTCGTGATTGTCATCCCTCATTCTCACTCACTTTCCACGTCATTCGTGATTGTCATCCCTCATTCTCACTCACTTTCCACGTCATTCGTGATTGTCATCCCTCATTCTCACTCACTTTCCACGTCATTCGTGATTGTCATCCCTCATTCTCACTCACTTTCCACGTCATTCGTGATTGTCATCCCTCATTCTCACTCACTTTCCACGTCATTCGTGATTGTCATCCCTCATTCTCACTCACTTTCCACGTCATTCGTGATTGTCATCCCTCATTCTCACTCACTTTCCACGTCATTCGTGATTGTCATCCCTCATTCTCACTCACTTTTCACGTCATCCGTGATTGTCATCCCTCATTCTCACTCACTTTTCACGTCATCCGTGATTGTCATCCCTCATTCTCACTCACTTTTCACGTCATCCGTGATTTTTATCCAAATTTTACATCCTTTAACTCTTATCTTATCAGTTAGTTCATTTTCAATGATTTTTTTAAATAATTCATCCAATTACTAAAAAATTTCACAAAGTTTTATTGAATTTTTAAATTTGGCAATCAAATGTGATGTTATATTAATGTTGACAAATCTTTATCATCATTGTCAGTTAGCAATTTGATTTGATAATAAATCATTTGGATGTAAACTTGATTTTAATCATCGCAATATTTTTTTTTTTTTTTTTTTTTGAGGAGGGGAGATTTCACGTTTGTATCGATTTCAATAAAAAATTACTATCAAAAAATTAAATTGAATCATAAAAATGTTAGATTAAAATTTCCATGAAGTTGTCACTTTTTTCCTCTATCATAATTTTTTTATCCTTTTGCTTATTTGAATTTCCATAAGTTCAATTGATACTGATTAATTTATTTAATTTTAAATTAAAATTGCTATAAAATAAAATATAGTTCTTTAATTAATACCATTTTTACCATTTTTAATCATTGATATCAGTTTTTTTTTTCTCTTAAATTATCAATTTTTGTAAATTTTGTTTTTTCTTGTAATTAGGATTAAAAAAGAAATTTTCAGTGGTTAAGTGAAAACAATTACCATTTTGGAGATGTTTTTTCAAAAAATAAATTACACCATGAAAATCTTTCAATACATGGAAATGATATGAGGTAATTAATTTGATAACTAATTTATTTTTTTTTTTTTTTTTTTAAGAGAAAAAAAGAAAAAGATTAAACATATAAATTTGTTGTTGAAATAATTGTTTTTTTTTTTTATTTTAATTATTATAACAATAACTTATCATTCCTAATTTTTCCATCATTTTTATTTTTACACTATTTCAATATTTGTTATTTTTTTCCTCTTTCTTTGTTTTTTTCTTCTATATAATTTAAATGAAAAATTAATTTTTAAGAAGAAATTGCTACAATATATTAAAATTTTACTAATCTTTTTTTTAGGCATTCAAAATCAGAAATTTTTGTTCCAAATGAGCACAATGAAATAAAATCTAAAATAATCGTAGCACCAAAAGCGATTATTCATTATGAACATCTGCCTAAACCATTATCACAGACACGGAGTGCATTTCAAATTTCACTACAATCATCTGTGTCACCATCATTATCATCATCAACATCATCAACAACATCATCGATAACAACAACAACAACAACAACAGCAACAGCAACAGCAACATCGTCATCAATATCATCATCAACATTAGCAGTATCATCATTATCATCATCATCATCAGCAGCATCATCACATGAAGAGAATGAAAATCATCAAAAGTCTAAAAAGTTAATTGCAGAAATGTACAGTGCGATAGAAAGACGAATTCCATTAAAAAAAAATATGGTAAGATCGCTGTTGAATGTAACAAAAAAAACGAAATAAATAAATAAATAAATAATAGAATAATGGAAATTATTTAATTCAAATTAATTTTGCATAGTTATATAGCGAACTAATTATGTGTATAAGCAATGATTATTTTAACTCAAAATGGATATAATTTAAAAAAAGTTTTTTTTTTTTTTTTCACACAAATTTCAATGAAATATCATATTGTTTTCATATAACTATTGATAGTAGTACTAGTACTGATAATGGTACTTTTAATACTAATAATACTGATAGTAGTAGTAATGATAATGGTACTTTTAATACTAATAATATTGGTAGTAGTAGTAATGATAATGGTACTTTTAATACTAATAATATTGGTAGTAGTAGTAATGATAATGGTACTTCTAATACTGATAGTAATAATAACAATAATATACTATTATTAATAATAATAATAAATGAAAACTAGGAAATAACAATTAACGGTAAAAACGATAAGCAAATAGTTTGCTTTTACAATATTATTCAAATGCTACTACTACTTCTTCATACTATAAAATAATTTTTTTTTTGAATATTTTAAATATTACCAAATTTATTATAAAAAATTTTACAATTTCATTTTTATGAACAGTGACACATAGTTGACAATTGAAATAATTTCATCTTACATGACAAATTATTATTTTAATCTTTTCTTTTTTGTTTAAGAGGGAGGGGAGAGGAGTAGCAATTTTTTAATAACATTTAAAATATTTCATAGATTGAGATGAAAATTTACAGTTAATAATGACGAATTTAACGAGGGAAAAAGACGCTTCTTTGAAATTCACTTTTTTTTTTTTTTTTTTTTTTTTTTTTTTTGCAAAAACGATGAAAATTTAAAACCAAAATTTCATCTCTGTTGCAAATGATTTATGATTTGATTATTCCTTACCTTTTTTAAGCTCATTTTTCTACTCACAAATTGCTCATAAATTGGAAATAGTTTTTAAATTTTTAAATGGAGCAAATTTTTTTTTTTTTGCCTCAAACTAAGGATGAAAAGGCACTTTGTATAAATTTGATAAATGGAAGAATTTTTTCCAAAACTATTTCTAATACGAAATAAAATAATTAAAAGATAATTCTAAGTATTACTTTGTTAATTATTATTTAAGTTTATTGTAATAGCTTATAGTGAAGAAAAGCATAGAAATATGCTTATTTACTAGAAAAGTAGTGGAAAAAAAAAGAAAAATTAGCTATAATTGAAGATGAATTTCATGGATTTATGAGAAAAATTAATTTAATATTTCAAAATGGAATTTTCATTTTTCTTCAAAAGTTTGAATTAATTTTTTTTAAATTATAATTTTATCAATTTTAGGAAAATATGAGAAATTTTTACGATACCGAGCATAATGTACAATTTAAATATTATCCTGATCAAAGCAAAAATACCAGTAAGCAAAAAAAAAAAATTTTTTTTCTTTTGTTTAGAAAATTTAAAAGAAAAAAATATTTTTACAAATTTAACTGCTATTGTTTCCTTCAAACATAAATAATTCCTGTTCTATTTTTTACCTCCAAACAACTTGATGGATTTTTTTTTTTTTTGTTGATTAAAATTTAAAGATGTTTGATGGATGTTTTTTTTTTTTTTTCCAGATATGATCAATACTTTCTCTTGTCCACAAAAATTTTTTAAACGAAATATCAAACGACAAGCATCATTCTTAGCTGCTGTTTCAGCGAATAATTCTCATCGTTGTAAAGGTATTTGATATCATTTTAAAATTTTATAAATTTTTTCTTTTTAAATTTTTTTTTTTTTTGTAAAAACTTAAATTTTATAAGTCTTTTCTTTATCTCTTATATTCATTTATTTTTTAATTATTATTTATATTAATTATCAATTTGTTAATGTTTAATTGTTAATTATTAAAGATTATGCCTACAAAACCATTTGTTATTTTGTAACAAAAGAAATAATTTATTAAAAACAGAATAAATCAACAATGACTGACTGATAAGCAATAAATTTATTACTTTATTGTTATAGCAATATATAGCTTATTGTTATAGAAATTATTACATTATAGAAATTTAGCTTGAACAATTATATTATTTACATTTATGAATTTTATCACTATTATTCATAATTGAGTAAAAATTCTGATAAGTATTAGTATGTAATTTTTTAAAATTTTCGAAAAAAAACTCTCTTCTCTATGTGAAAAATTTGTGTAAAATTTTTATTACACAATAATTTTTGATGAAAAATTCAAAAAATCAGTCTAACTTATCATATTTTCATACTAACAAATGTCTCTTTTAGAAATACGATCCATTTCCACCTCTGATTTACAATCAGATGTAAACTCTTCAATGGAATCTCTTAAATGGCAGAATGCTGATAATATCACTCATTTAACTCCATATCACACCAGTACAATGATAAGATCAAATGAACCACCTCTAGTACCATCATCCAAACATACTTCTTCATTCAGCAATGAATTCAAAAATTATTCTAATATTTCAAAGCATTCATCATACTATGTAAGTAACTCAATGAGCGATGTGTCACTTTTGAAGTGACAGTTTTTTTTCTTTTTTTTTTTTTTTATTTTTGATTTTATTTTTTGTTTACTGAACAGTTAAATTATGATTTATGTCACTTATTTCTATTTATTTTGTTTAAATGTAAAGTTAAAAAAATTTTTTTCTGTTTTTTTTTAAATTTTAATAAACACTTTTTTTTTTTTTTACAGAATTTAAACATTACTTACCAAGTTATATGTTTATTAAAAAATAAAAATATATTGTTGATTATTTTACAAATTCTTTTCTTTGTTCTTTTCAGTTTTCGCCAGAAAATAATTTCCGGAATGGTATTCGATGTAATAATTCATTGGAACGGAAAGAGCAAAATGTTAAAAAATTATTTTTAAATATTCCAAAAATTTCATCATCTGATACTGCTTCAAATATGCGACGACAATATCAGAGTGATAATGAAAGCAAAAATTCAACTTCAACAAAGCTAACAAATTTAATGAATAAATCAATGATTGATAACATATCAGTGTTAAGCGGCAATTCCTTTAAAATTAATCCTACTGCAAGCGCAACTGATCGCAGTGATGGCGTAAAATGTGCACCAACAAATTTTTCAATCAAAAAACAATTTTCTTCTACTAATCAAAGCTCAACACTTTTGCATGGTTTGTTAAGTTTTAGTTTTTTCTTGTTGTTCAAGAATTTTTCATTTCTTAAAAAATTTACACAAATTTCTTGAAGAGAGGGAGGAAGAGAGAGCAAAAGAAAATTTATGAATGATAAATTAAGATTATTCAAAATGAAATATTTTTTGTAAAATGATATTCTCTTTTATATTGTTAATTATTATTTCTTCTTTTTTCTTTTTTTTTTTTAAAGATCTAATCTTACAACAAAAATTTTTTAATTATTAGAAGATATTATCAGTTTGCAAATTTCTTCTTTTCTCAACTTTGATGATAATAGTACTTTCTGAAAAAGATTAAATATTTCTTGAAAAAATTTTTCATTTCTTCCTAGCAATTTTGAAAAGTTTTCACATTATTAATGTTTAGAAGAAGCTTTCTAAAAAAAAAAAAAAAAAAAAAAAAAAGGTCAGTAGAGAAAGTGGTAAATTAAATTTGTAGCTAGTTGATATTCAGAAAAAATTAAAATTTAAATCATAAAATATTAACAAAAAAAAAAAAATTTCAATTTCATCCTTCAGAAAAGTTTTTCTTCTATTTTTTTTTCCCCTCAATTTTAACTAACTAACATAAAAATTCGCAATAACCAATAACCAAAAAAAGAACGAAGAATTTGGCAGAAGTATGAATCATTGCAATAAATATGCAATTTCAAAAAAAAAAAAAAATCATTTTTAATTCGCTAAAAAAAAAAGAAAGAAAAAAGGCAAAAAAAAAAAAGTGAAAAGGTAATAATAATTTTCAAGGATAACAATTATTTTTCGTTCTGATAGATTAATGGGTTGAAAATTATGCGAAAATGTCCTATCATTTGTTATATACTTTTGCGCACATTTTATTTCGAAGCACAAATTTTTAAGTATACTTAACATGATGATATAATTTCTTTTTATTTTTCTCTTTCATACTACTTCTTTTCTCTCTCTCTCTCTCTCTCTCCTTATCTTTCAAAAATTTAATAATAACAATTTTTTTTTAAAAAAAAAAAGAGATGATAAAAAATTATTGTTATGGAATGACTCATTCCACTATTAGAAATAAAGCGGAGTTGGTCAAACTAATTATGCGCGCTCTCTGTCTTATCATAATTATCAATAATAAAAAGTGAAAAAAAAAAAATATTATATGATTTATTAAAGAATGTTGAAAATTTTCTTTGAAATTAAATTCAAGAAAAAAAAAATTTCTTTTATGGAATTTTTTTTAAAATTTTATCAAACTGGAAAGTAATTTCATTTATGAAATGAAAAGTAATTTGTTTAGTTACATAAAGTTAGCTTAGTTATTAATTACGATTAATTATTTTTTAGACATAATTGTAATCAATTATTTCTTATTAGATTAATTAGATTTGTTTCTTAAACTTTTGTCCAATTAATTATATTGATAACATTAATGTAATTTGCACTGTAAAGTAATGATAAAGAATAAATAGATTGATTAGAATTAATAAACCATTTTATCTAATTATTGAGCGAATTTTTTATTTCTATAATTAATTTGATTAACTGATCGATTGATTGATAATAGTTTTATAAATTAATCCAAAAAAAAAAATTCTGGAAAAATTGATTAGATTAATTAACTGTCATATGCATTCATTCTTGCTATTCTATTAAATGAAAACATAATTTAAATTTTCTAATTTGCCTAATTTTATCAATGAACAAATGACTTAGCTTCAAGCAAAAATTTAAAATCGAAATAATAAACGGAACGAATTAAAATTATCACAGAACAGTATAAATTGTTGAAATGTCATTTTTATATTTTCCTCAATTTTTCTTTAGGTTTTTGCTTATATATTACATTCAATAGCATTTGTTATTCTTTTAGCATTTCTTATTTCAATTTCTTGATTTCAAATTACACTAAGTGATATTTTAATGATAACAGTAATAATTTGTGATTATTATGAACGTTCTTTGCCTAAATTAATTTCCTACTTTCTTAATTTCTTTTTTCTTCTAAATTTTTTTCTCTATTCTATTGAATGCTATTCAGATTTTAATTTTAATTTTAAATAAGCATAAAAAATTGATTCATAGTTTACTTACGAAATATATTTTAGTTTTTATGCCATATTAAATATACTTTATTAACTTACAGTATATTTTTGAGTATTACAGTATAACTTACTTTCACTTTAACACATATTCTTGTACTCATTACTGACATTGTTTTAAAACGTTTCAAATTTTCACCTAAACTTAAATTATGCATATATTAACCTCATAATTTACTAAATTAATTAATTTAATAAATCTATAAACCTTATTAATTTACAGTATGCTTAAGTATTACTGTATAATTTGCAGTACAGGTGCAGATGATACATAAAGTTTATTGAAATTAGAAAATAGATTTGGTAATTTAGATGTTATCAGTTTCTATTACTAAATGTAAACAACTTTTTCGGATTTCTTCTATTTTCAAAATTTCAAATTTTTATTTTATTATTGAATGAATATTAAATTTTAATGAGAAATGGAAGATTTCTTTGTTAATATATCAAATTATTACTCATAAAATTGTGCTTTCACATTAAAATCATTTTAATTTCAATCTTTCTATGATCGATAATTCAAATTTTTTGATCAAAAATTTGATATAGAAATAATTTGCTTTCTTTTTTTCATTTTTTTTTTTTTAATGGTAGATAATTTGATAGTATTAGATAGCGACATTCTGATAACTTTATCTCTTTCATACATATCACTGCATGATACTTATATATATATATGTATATTTGCTTTCATCAAAAAAAAAAAAAGAAAAAAAAAGCGCAAAAATATTTGGCGCAATATATCATTTGAATAAAATACATTTACAAATCACATGCGATTGCTACAAATCTTTCCCAAAAAAAAATCTTATCATATCATTATCATTAAATTATTCCATTCAATTCAACAATTTCTTTTTAGACAAATATTAAAATAATTCATTCATTTATTATCTTTTAAAATTTTTTATCACATTTTAAATTTTAAATCTACCATAATATATCTATAAAAATACTTCCACTTTCGGCACTTACAATTATAAAATGAAATTATGTTATTGATGCATTTATCAAATATTAAAATATAACAAATACTAGATATCATTGTTATCATTATCATTAATTATCATTCCTACAATTGCTATTAGTTTGTTTATTTTAGGTTAATTTAATTTTTCATTATTAATTTTTATACAAAATTTTGTTTTATTTTCAGTGAATGCAAATTTGTTGCCTACGACAAGAACAGAAAATACAGATTATCTTATTAAAAATCATCTTCCGCAATCAAAATCTATGGAAATATTCACAAAATATGGTGAGTATATTTATCAGAGTTATTACTTATTATCATTCTTTTAAAAAGATGTTTATTTCAAATATTTCTTTACTTATCTGTTTACTAATCATTGTCCCTCTGAGAGAGAGAGAGAGAGAGAGAGAGAGAGGGAGATTGTAGCTGATGATCAAAATTTTAGACAATAGGAGAGGATTGTTTCTTGACAAGAAGCATTTATTGTGTTTATTGGTATGAAAGGATAGATTTAAGATAGCTTAAAAGTCTCAGAATTTCCATTCCCAAAAGGAATTTCAAAATTTTCGAACTTTATAATTTATCAAAATAGAAATGTCATTGGCATCGATTTTTGGGCAATTTTAGCTGCCTGAACATTTGTACTACTTTGTGCCATTGAATGCAATCGAGAAAGATTTCTAATCACTGCAATATTACTTTCTCTTTCTCCCTTTCTCTGTCCCTCTCTCTCTCTCTCTCTCTCTCTCCCTCGTTTATTTTTTAATAGCATTTTAATATCTTCTAGTATTTACTATGTTTTACAATTTATAAATTAAATAGACATTAATTAATTAATTAATGCAGAAGGGGAAGCTTATGAGAGAGTAAAGGAACTATTATTGAAAAACTATTAAATTTCCATTCTTCGTATTTAATCTTAGCAGTATTAAATATCATTTTTAAATATTTAATATATTTCAATTTCAATTTCTTTTTTTTTTTTTTTTTTTTTATAAAAAATGCTTTGCTATTTATGCAACTATAATATACCTTAGCAGAAGTATAAATTTGATAAATTAACAAGGTGTGTTATTATCAGTTAAATATTATTTCTTCATCAAATATTCCATTTTTTGCTGTTATCATCAATCATCGATAATACTTTTTATACTCTAAAAAAAGGAAAAAAAAAATTTCACCTAATTTATTCAAAATTTGAAATCTTACTTTCTGGATAGATTCTTCCTTAGATTTCTTTCCTAAATAGAAAAATTTTAATTAATAATAATTAATATCACCACATATCTTATTATAATGATTAGCTAAAGCTGTTTTTTTTTTTTTTTTTTTTTTCTGTCTTTCTTTTTATTTATCAGATTTATTTGTTGTTTAATGATTTAATGACGATGCGATGAGTTTTTCGAGAAATTTTTTGTTGTATTCAAAAAACAATAATCATTTCAAAAAAAAAAAAAAAGAAAATCATTTGAATGATTGTAAAGGTCATTTGAGGTCATTGAAATGAAATACAGAAAGAATGATAAGCATATTTCAAATTTGATAAAAATATGAGATATATATTTGGAAGTGTTTTCAATATAATTAACATTTTGTTTATTAATTCTAATCATAACATAATGTTTTTATAAATCAATTTATGCTTATCAGTAAATAACAGCTGCGCCTATTAGCTAATTGTAAACAATTTTAAAATTATTCTCACTTATGCATGATTAATTTATTGTTTTTTTTTTTTTTTCAATTAACAATGATATTTTCATTTGAGTAAACATAATTATTATTTATGTGAAAATGTGAAACTAATTGAATTGTAAACAATTATAATTATTATTACAAAAAAAAAAAAAAAAAAAAAACAAAAATCTTTTGCATAAATAAGCTTTAACATAGGAAACTTTTTTTTTTTTTTTTTAACTTTTGCCTTTTCATCAAATTCACATTTTTTTTTTTCTTTTTTGGCTTTTGATTGAATAAGAATTTAAGTTTAAACAAAATGACTAATTTAGTTTTCTATCATTTCATTTTGTTAAAAGAAACGTAAAATTATTGCCATTCTTTACGCTTTTTCTTTTTTCCTAAAACAGTGCTTTGATCATTAATTTATTTAATTTTTTTTTTTTTTTTTTTGTTTTCTTTTTTGAAGAGAGATTAGTATCTGTAATTTTTAAAAAAAAAAAATTTTAATTTTCCAATTTTGAATATAACAGAAAAAAATGTTATGAGTATAGGAAAATTAAAAGAAAGAACAAAAGAAAATGTATGCTTATTTCTTCTTTTTTTTTTTTTTTTTTTGCAAATAATTTTAAAATAATTTGTATAGCATTTATTCATTTTATTTTATTCGCTAATATATATGTATTTGTTATCAATTAAAATTTAACAAATTAGTCGTAAAAAAGAAAATTTAACAAAAATAAAAAATTAGTGCAAAATAATTTTAAAAAAAAAAGAAAAGAAAAATGATGTAAAATAAGTTGAAAAATAAAATGAAATGAATCATAAACTATAATCGTTTCGTTATATTTAAGAATTTTCAAATTATTTGAAATATTTTATTGTTCTTTTTTTCTTTTTATATGATTGTTTTTTTTTTTTTTTTTCATTTATATTTTTTATCATATCATTAAAGTTAGTATTTAACATAATAATAATAATAGCAGTTATTTAATTTAATTAGTTATACTAAAATAAAAATAATTGTATTGTGGGAAGAGGGAAGAAATGAATAGATTAGATAAATTTAATTTAATTTAACTTTCAAAAAGTCATACGATTGATTTTTTTTTTCTTTTAAACTAGAAAAGTCAAAGTAAGCAGAGCTATTAAGCTTAAGCGTAACAAATTTAAAGTTTTTTCGAATAGGAAAGCGAAAGAAAAAAAAAAAAAAAAAAACTTTAAGCATTGGTAGAATTGAAAAAGTGCAATCAATTTTGGTGCTATAAATGAAGTTAGTTTAATTTAATTTAACTTACAAATTGAAATTTTAGGATGGAACGAAATGATTTGTTAGCTAAGCTAATTCAGCTAGTCTACATTTTCTCTTTCATTCATTCTTTATGCGTGTAGAAAATTTCACCAAATATACTTACAAAATTATTATAAATTCTTTATTTCTCTCATTCGATTTTTCTTTTCTTCCTTTTTTGATGATATTATTAATTAATTTCAGTTAATTAATTCAAAATTGGAAATTCTTAGTAAAATTATTATTTCTTTGAATTTTTTTCCTTTTACTTTTTTGTCAAAACTCATTTATGTTTGAAATGCAAATTATTAGAATATTTGTGTTTATTTATTTATTTATTTATTTGTTTGTTTTTTGTGTGTGTATGTGTGAAGAATAAACAAAACATAGCATTGCTAAATGAAAATTAAAATACCAAATTTTTGAAGAGAAAAATTTCGGCGAAAGAAAAGGATGAAAGAGATTAGAAGATGTAAATGCCAATTTCTAAATATCATTTATTATATGATTCCTTATCTCTTCTGGATTTATTTAATCTTCATTTGTCTGTCGTCCAGTTTAAACTTTTTTTCAACTGGGTCTTTTTTTTTTTTTTTGAAAATTTTCGCTCTCTAAATATTTCTTATTGTAAATTGATGAAATTTGTTACTTTTATAAATAGTATTTTTTTGAGAGAAAGATGGAGAGTGATAACGAATGATATAAAATGATGATGATAATAATGATAGTAATAACAGTAACAGTAATTAATAATGATAATATAATAGTAATAACAGTGACAGTAATTAATAATGATGATAATAATAGTAATAACAGTAACAGTAATTAGTAATGATAATAATAATAGTAACAGTAATTAATGATGATGATAATAATAGTAATAATAATAATAAATGACAATAACAATGAGTAATCATAAAGCAACAGGTGGTAGTAAATTGAAATGATAATGAGAGAAAGAATTGTGATTGTGATGATAACAAGTGATGAAAGGAAAGCGTTATTTATATACACAGCGCTTCGCTTCTATCTCAATGTTGCGCTTTGTTCTGGATGACCTTTGTTGTTGTGAGGAGAGAAATGATTTGATGACAGGTGAAGTGAAGGTAAAGGGAGCTGCAGGTGGTCATTTCATGTAGTAATAGCATCTAGTCGTTAGATCTTTTTACTTTCATCTTTTAATAAAAGTTTTTTTTTTTTTTTTATTTTATTTACTATCGACAAATTGATAAATATTTTCACTAACAAATATTTATAAATTTCAATTTGTGAATATTTGTTATAATAAATTAATATTTCTATCAAATTAACATAATACTATAAAACTTTTTCATCATTCTAACCAATTCTTTGTTATTTTGAATTCTGATAAATTGAAATTGTATAGTTTATGAGAAAATTGACATTACTATTCGAGATTTTCTAATTAAAATAAAGTTACTAATAATTTATTTGTTATGAAATATTATATGAAAAAAAGAAAAAAAAATTTAACAATAATGTTAGTAATAATAATTTCATTGATAGCAAGAGATGAAAATTGAGTTTGTTTGAAAAATTTTTTGAATTAAATCAGAGGGTTGGAACCTTTTTAGAAGACAAATTTTTAAAATTTTTAAATCAAATCGAGAAATATCTGATGGAAAAGTATAATTAAACGAGATGATAAATAATTATCACTTCAAAGGATTATCAAATTATCATTCCAATCAATTCAAAATGATAATATCTTTCCTTCTTCTAACTATAAATAAATCCTCCTTTGCTAAATATCATTTATTGAATTCTTTACAATTGATGCTTATCTTCATTTCGTATCACTGATACTAAAATATTTTAGAATTTTGGCGGTTGCAAATTATTTAAATATTTTATGCTTTTATAAAGATTTTATTTTACTTTTTTCTTTCTTTAGAATTCAAATTTAAGCTTTTATTAAATTTGTTTTTAAATTTCATCTGATCCTTTTTTTTTTTTTTTGTTGTTGTTATTTCACATAATTACATAATTTTTGATTAATAAAAATAATAAGCATGAGAAAGTTTAACTATTCAATCTTCCATAAATTATGAATTTCATTTTTAACGTTGCTGAAATTTCCACTATTTTAACCCCGTTACTCTTCACAATTAGATATACTCTCGAGCAAATATATTTCATTAAATCTCGACGGTGCTATTTTCTTCTTCTGATCGACCCATTTATCTTATTTAATATAATATGTTCAAATGGATAATCTTTAGGAAATTGCAAATGCTTTCATTCCACCATTTCTTATTCTAAAATTAACATTTACTTTTAATTATTCTCTCTTTTT